CTTTACGTTCGCTTCCGCTACGGAAGCAAGGGCGACAGCAGCACCGGACAGTCTGGCGGCAAAACCTCCTATCGTCTTCCGATGTATGGCAACAACAGTCGCAAGTACGGCTTGGGCTCGAGTGCGGGTGCAGAAGCGCAGGCAGGCCCTGCTCATCAGGCACACATTACCTACGGCGCAAATGACAGCGACGAGAGCATTCTACGGGATGCAAAGGGCCAGCTGTCTTCCTCCTCCAAGGGGATCAGGAGAACCGACGAGGTCTCCGTCAGCTACTCGGCATAACTGGCGAGTGTGCATCTGTATTATGAATGTTTAGACTAAAAGGGCCGCTTGCGACGTACATACGATCAAAAGGAGTTTATTAATGAGATCTGTATATAAAAAAAGGGTACAATCGGAGGAACCCATGGGACTAGTTTACCTCAAAAGTAACATCTTGAATTAATTTTATTTGCTTGGAATCATCCCAATTGACGCAGTTTTTACAGCAAGTGCCTACAAATTGATCAATCACGTATGTCGACATCTCCATCCGAGCCGACACCCAGTGGGACGGTATCTCAGGGGGCCTCGTATGATCCGTCACACATCGTGACATTACTTACCCCTGTGGTGTTTTGGTTCCGGCTACCCGCCCCCGCGGATTTCCACACAGTCGCAATATCTTGCCCAGTTTGTACTAGAGCGGTTGGGAGAGGAATACAAACGTCTGAATCCTGGTAACAAGCACCAAGGATGCCAGAACAAAGGGCATTCCCTGCGCTCCAACAGACAAAGCTAGGGGCTTTGGTCCTAATAAGCGTGAGCCGGGCTGTTTGAGACAATCATACGCTAAGAATAACGGTCGCCTAACTCGGAATATTTGAACGGCACAGACGGGACGAGCATTGCGAAGCTACTCCGGAGTAATGCCAGACCCCATGTTCATGACAATGAACGAACCCCCACACGGCAAGGAGGCCCAAACATGGCCCACTCACACCTGAGACGAACCTAGTTTGCAAGGTTTGGTCGTAAGATTCAGCCCAGACTGACAGGAAAGTCCCTCTCCAAAGTTGTGTCCTTGGGCACGTTGCTTTTTCTACCAGAGGACTAAAGTAGCGACATCCATGTGCTGGGTTAGAGCCTGCATTAGAGGAGAGACAGACCACACACCCTTGGTCAATAGTGTCTTTCCCATTGAAACTAGAGCGGTTTAGTAATTGATCCTCGCAGTAGCACAGTCGTAACAACTGGCAGGGATAGAGCCTCTAACTTGAGACGAAGCCTTTTACGCGTACCTAGGCCGTTGATTTGTGTATACGGGTTCCCCGGCATTGTTCCTACAAGCTCCGCAGGATCGTGCGATACCATGTCTAGACTCTGGATGATTATGCCCTCCACAAAGAAGAGCATTGAAGAGACGTCCAGGACTCGAAGCTAAGGAAGAGAGGTCTTAGTGCGTGCGCCCCCATTTTCCCCAAGCCCTCATTCAACTTCTCCAAGCAGGAATGATCTTCTTTCATCCATATTCTAGATGTGGGGCTTCAGACAGCCTCACCGTTGCCAAGCATATGAAGGTTTGAATGGCAATAGCTGAAATCTACCTGAATTGGTTCCATTGCCCGCTTCTCCTGGCCACTGCCGTTGGTGCTGAATATCCGCCTCTAATTCACTCCCTTAGGCCTGTAGTTTAACGGCGGATCACAGCACCAATGACTAGAATGCGATTCAACACAGTTCTCCGTGATGAGGTCACAGTCAACGCGTCACCATTTGGCTGTGGCCATATTTCCAGGTTCTTCAGATGAGGATTCCTAAATCTTCGACAGCCAATTCAATGGGTCATAGCAAAGCCAAAACAAGCCAGCTAATAAGAAGGGTTTCACTTCAACACGGGGTAAAGCCTCAGGATAGATATGATCATGTAGATCTTCATCTTTCTTGGCTGATAGACGTACCAACTAGGAAGCAAGAGCAATGCAAGTTGAAATGAGGTTGCTTAGATACGTATACGTACTGAAACGTGGGGGTGGCTTGCTGCATCTGCCAGTCTGACGTGCAAGATTAAAGTGGTTGCAGCAGTCTGTCATGCAGGAAGTTGGAACTTTTGCTGAAAAGATCGGCAAGATATTTAATGCTAGAACCAATCACTACTAGCCAAGGAAAATACAAGATGGCTTTTGACTCGATCGCGACAAAATAATCCGATGAAGAGTCTCACACCCGAATGGTGACAAGGCTGAGACAGGTGATAACATACCTTACTTACATGCCCATTCTCGGGCTATTTCGACAACGAATGAAAACATTACGAGGAGAAAAATCTCAAGCTATGCCATGGATCATAATTTGAGATTATTTCGATTCAGGACCTATTACAACAACACCCCATTCGTTGTATTTGAGTCCTTGTCGTATCGCAGACTACTTATCCGCAGAACTGCCTACCCTAGACTACCTCCAAAAATCAATGTCCATGTTGCTCACCAAACATAAAAGAGATCATACGAGCTTTTGTGATATCTGCTTGTCCTTTATCATCTGATTCAAAACAGTAGGATTTCATTTCTAGATAAGTGAAATGGTTAACCCGTGTTGAAAATGTTGCTGGAAGTCTACGCTATGGGTATACTATGTCTTGATAGCTCAAGAAAACCAAATCATTTTACGAGTAACCTTAGAGTTTAGATTCAATAGGTCCCTGCCGTTTTGCCATTTCCTCCAACTTTTTCCGTAGCAATTTTCCAGATGGGTTTCTAGGCAACTCCTCAACACTTATCAAAGGCTCGCGGAATTTCTTGTAAGGCGCAACGCGGGAGTTGACAAAGGCTCGGATGCTTTCCAATGTGATGTTCTGGTCCTCATCGCTAGCCTCAGATGTCAACTTGACGAAGCCGATTGGGATTTCTGTGCCAAGTTTCTTGTCAAAGACCCCGCAAACTCCGGCATCAAGAACCTTGGCATTCGTCAATAGAACGGCTTCCAGCTCTACTGGCGAAATCTGGTTCCCATGGTATTTGATTAATTCTTTCTTGCGTCCCGTGAGAAAGAAAAACCCATCATCGTCAACTCTAACGATGTCCCCTGTCTTCAGCCAGCCATCTTCTGTTTTTGCATCTCGGCTGGCTTTCTCATTTCCCTTGTATGCCAGGAAAACACTTGGGCCCTTGACAAGACACTCGCCCTCGGCTCCTGGTCTGACATCGTTGAGAGCATCATCGACAACGCGGGCGCATACCCCCGCAGACAGCCGGCCAACGCTGGCCCCTTTGTCTTGGCGAGATTCACGTAGAAGTGTGACAGTACCCTCAGTCATTCCGTAACCATTCAAAATCCCACATGTAGATCCGAGAATTTCCTTTAGTCCTATTATCGTTTCTTCCGACAAGGCAGCACCAGAACACATGACCGCTTGGACAGAGGTGAGATCCAACCTCTTTACCTCTGGGTCTTTCACCATTCTCACAGCTGCAGTTGGTACGAGCCGAAGTACGGTGGCTCTAATTTCCGAGCATCGTTGAAGATATTGCATGTAATCGAATCTCTTCATCGGCTGCAAGTATGACCCAACCCAAGCTGGAACCAGAACCGCCGATACCACCCCATAGACATGAGCGAACGAGGGGAAGAAGACCTCTCGGTTCCGAGAGCTATGAAGAAAGGGGTTTGTGGCCCGAATGGCCATGATTTGAGCCAAGAGATTGTGATGAGACATGACCACCCCTTTCGGAAAGCCGGATGTCCCCGAACTGAAGCAAATCGCCGCTGGTTGGGCTCTGTTGTCCTGTGCGGAGAGATCGAACGGGCCAATTGAACCGGTATGATCTCTGAAATTCAACGGATACTACCAGGAGTTCCATTAGCACCTGGCCGACATGTTCTGAGCTTCATTCTTGGACGTACAATATCATATCCATCTTTGGAAGGTGTACCGTCATCAATGATGATGATATGAGGTGAAATGGAGAGCTGTTTGCAAGCATCTTGAACATTTCCGAACAGCTTCGCATCAACAGCGACCGCCTTGGGCTGTGCGATTTGAAAGTAGTGAAGCAACTCATAACTCGTAGCCAGTGGATTGATCCCGCTGTCTTCCCTGATTAGCAAACATGGAGACCGCATGAGGCTTGAACGTACCAGAAGCATCCGCCTGCCCACAAGGTCGCGTGTGCTAGCGATGCCCAATACACCGAATTGAATCCGTAGATACAAACAACGTCGTTTTGATGTAGGTCATAGTTATTCCGCAGGATGGCTGCATCCCGTGAGGCATTTCGGCGGATACCTCCGTAAGTTACGAATCGTTCTTCTGGGGCATCGAAGTCTGCAAGGACAACTACGTCCGGATGAGTGTCATCGGGATCGCTCCGCAGCAGAAACTGCGAGACGCTCAAATCAGTCGGAACACTTGGCGTAGGGTATGGAGAATGATAGATATTCCCTCCCATTTTTATTTTCGTTAATTCTGTATAGATAGGTATGCTCGAAAGAGAAGAGTCTTCTTTGTTCAAAACTGCCAGACTCCCGGCAATGCTTGACCGCTCGACCACCCACCACAATCCGCTTGCTCTTTAGTAAAGTCAAATGTTGTGCCAAAATTCCTAACAGAGTGGACTCCCTACTCCATGAATCATTAGTTGCAGCGACTTCCCCGCCACCCCGACTTTCGCTTTTCTGGGGTCTGGGGTTCGGGGTAATGTTATCCTTTGGGCGGCTCTGTCCTTCCGTTGTGATCGGTTGGTCGGCTCGCCTAATACTTTGTAGTCATTGGAGGTGTAATCAAATTAGATTTGAATGGAATTAATTGGCTATACTCTGGCCCTGTTCATCCTACACCTTTTGGTTCACCTGAGAGACACATAAGTGATCTGCCAAAGAGACTGGAGACACAGTCCCCTGGCAGCAAGTCCATGAACCTTCACTTGATATTTAGGATTCATCATTTGATCCCGAGCTTCCACCTCTCAATTACATGATACCACGTCTTCTCTTTGGCACTGGGCTTCTCAAACACAATGGAGTCTTCTCATAGAGCGGTTAAGGAGAAGGCTGATGACGCCAGTCATGTTGAAGACAAATATGAAGTTGCAATGTCTGACCCAGAAAGCCCTTCGACGCCCGTTGAAGAGGGCGATGATGGCAAGGTCACATTGAAAATGAAACTAGCTGTGCTATCGCTCATTCTGATGTATGAGGCATATCTATTCACTCTTATTATGTCAGTATCCTAGATCTCTTAAACAAAAAAATGCACAGCGAATCAACTGACCAATATTGTAGGCCTGCTGCTGTGCTGACGTACATTGACGCTGAACTGGGACCTGATACCCGCTATCCATGGATAGCAATAACGTAAGTCCTGATGCACCATCGTGGGACTTCTCAGCTGACTTGGGAACTAGATGGAACCTTGGCGCGGCCATTATTGTCAGTATAGGGGGACGCATCTCAGACATCACAGGCCGGCGGTGGTTCCTCATGTTCGGTGCTGTCTCGGCTGCTGTCGGTGCCCTGGTCGGTGCTACTGGAAAGAGCATCAACCAAATGATCGTCAGCGGCATCATCTTCGGAATTGGGGGAGGATTCCAGGAGATGTGTTTCGCTTGTGCCCAAGAGCTCGTTCCCAATAAGTGGCGATTCCAGACTCTCGGTTTGTGACAATCGTTTTTCAAGAAACCAGCGTGATTCTAACCTCTGCTTACAGGCGTGATGATTCTTTCAAACCATCTGAGCTCAATATCCCCAATCCTCGGATACGTCTTCATCGCCTACACCAAAATAGGCTGGAGAGCCTGCTACTGGTGGTGTTTTGCCTGGGAGGCCGTCACCGCCGTCATGTTATTTTTCTTCTACCACCCGCCGACTTTCGAAACGAAGCATGCCGGCGATGGCAAGAGCAAATGGCAGCTTGCAAAAGAGATCGACTACATTGGTCTAATCCTCTTTACCGCTGGATGCTTGCTTCTTTTGCTTGCTCTGAACTGGGGAGGTGGCCAGCACCCATGGAATAGCTCGTGGGTGATTGCACCCATCGTTGTGAGCTTCGTGTGCTTCATTGCGCTCGGATTCTGGGAGGTTTACATGCCTTTGTCGTATCCTATCCTACCACCTCACCTGTTTCGCGAGTGGCGCAGATTCACGGCGTTTCTCGTCGTTTGCTTCGTTGCTGGCATGCTCTACTACTCGATGAATGTCATCTGGCCCCGCTAGAGCGCGCTCATGTTTATTCCCCAAGGTGGTGATCCGATCATCAAAGGCGTCTATGCCAACATGGTTTCATTTGGGAGCATGATTGCCGGGTGGTACTGCGTCAGCTTGATGCCGTGGCTCAAGCACGAGAAGTGGCAGCTGGTTGCCTGCATCACGATACAGACAGCTCTCGTCGGCTCGCTTTCCAGCGTCGGCCTCGCTGATAAGGGCCAGGCGATTGCCACAGTCATTCTGGTTGCTACAGTCAATTTACCACCATCCCCTCTGTCTTTCGGCATGGTCTCTCTACATCTTGAGGACCAAACGGATATCGGAATCGCCGTGGGCTTGATTAGTACCTTTCGACTGATCGGAGGAGCGGTAGCTACTGCTATCTACACCTCGATCCAGAGCAGCCGGTTTGCCCAGGTGTTGCCTGGCCACGTCCGTTCCGCAGCTGAAGAATCTAATTTCGCTGGGTCGGTAGATGCGTTGCTCCTGGCAGCACGAAAGAATACGGTCGCGGCATATCAGACTGTCGAAGGAATCACCAACACGACGATCACGGCTACCCAGAAGGCAGTATTGGAGTCAAACTCGCAGTCATATAGCATGGTGTACCTGATTGCAATTGCCTTTGGGTGTGTTGCGATATGCTCTGCCCTGAGTGTGAAATCTATCGACGCCTCCCAGCGATCGAACAAGACGGCGGCGAAGTTGGAGAATGCAGGTTCGGATGGAAAGATCATTGACGGAAATCTACACTAGAATCGCTAGTTGGATGGTACACGTAAGAGGTTCAGAAATCACCATGCTTGGTGTATGGCTTGAGAACCATGTCTTGAGTATGTTCAGGTAATAAATATGAGTCATTAAGATCACAGGTAGAATTATTATCGTGCGGCTCAATATAATAATAGTGATCATGGTGTAATATGTGCACCATCCCAAATCCCAAATGCCTCTCAGCTGTTGTGGGGGGCTGAAAGGGGGAGATGACCATCTTACCTGGTTGTAGCTAGCGCCGCTTGTGCTTATGACTCGAGTCTTCTGGAGGTGATTCCTTCAGTTCGCCCCTGGACAATCATCTTTTCAGTGAAACAAATTCGAGTGAGCCCGTCACATCCATCAAGAAGCCTACGTACAGACACCCCCACACGACCAACATGACAACAATTCTTCCTCCCTTCTCTCCAAGGCATATCCCGCCCCTCTTCATTGCTTCCGCGTTCACCCTGGGTGGCCTGCTTCCCCTCTGGAACCCCGCCCGAGCCATCCGGGAGTACGGCTTGCCTGAACGGGTCGCGGAGTCTCCAACAGCTCACTCACCTTTCGCGGCCTATGGCTCCAGAACCACCATCATAGGGGTCGTTATGTGGACCCTCTACTTCCGCCGCGAATACCGGTCGCTCGATACGGTCATGAGCTTGCTTTTATTCGCAGGTGGTGTGGACGGGTATCTTTGCTGGAAGGAGGGCGTGCCAGGCCGTGGTCTGTTCAGGTTTCTTTCCAGCGTTGTGTTTGGCGTCTGGGGCCTCGCGGGACTGACAGGAGGAGCGGAGTGATCCTGATGGCGACCCGAATCTGCTGAAGAAGATAAATGGCATGGAAGAACGTACCTGGTGGCATGAAGGATTGGACACCCTGAAATTATACGCGTCAATTCCATTGTTCACGTGGCCCCGTGCCGTTGGGCGTAATGGAAGTTTCGGCCAAGGGATTTCTTGTGGGATAAATGTTAAACCGCGTTTTTATATCTTGGGTTTGCAATCGACAACATGTAAAATTGTAGTTCACTTGTAGAACATCATTCGGAAATCCAGTACATCACTGCGATTATGCTTGGAGAACCACCCATTTCCCTCCACCTTCATCCCCTTCAATTTCATCCGCTTTGTATGTCATGTTGTGGGATTTATCAGGACATTTGTGCCCGAGTTCAAAGCAATATCCGCACTCAATGAAAACGGCTCGGTCGCAAACACCACACTCATAACGAGGGTGATCCTCCCCCAATGACCCCATACACACGCTGCACTCTTCTCGTCGTTTCCCGTTGCTGTCAACTGTCAAGGGCCCTTTCTGCACCGTGAAATATTCGTCCAGCTCGTGGTCCAAGAAAAAGTGTATCAGGCGCTCGGTTGCCAGATATCGAAGCGACTGGCCGAGTGTCCTGCCCCCAAAGTCTTCCATCTCTAGAGATGGTCTAGCAGACCTCAGAAGTTGAATCACAACCTCATCGTGTTCATTTCTCATTGCTACTGAGATCGGAATTGAATTGTATATATCCTTCTGGAGAAGGACAGACGGTTCCATGGCCGGAATTGCAAGAAGTTTCTGGATAACGTGACTGTGTCCCCTGGCAGCGGCAAGGAACAATGGCGTGCGGCCTGCAGCATCGAGCAAGACTGGATTAGAGCCAGGGCTCGCAAGGAGCAGCTCGGTTGTTTCAAGGCGCCCATGGTATGAAGCCAGTGCCAATGGCGATCGCCCTGTTGCATCCAAGATGCCTTGGTCTGCTTTGTTATCAAGCAAATACTTGACAGTGTTTACATGGCCTCCAACACTCGCAAAATGAAGGGGAGTCCGCCCAGATTTGGACTGGAGATTGACACCTGAACGCTGATTAACCAAGCATTCTTTGCTTGCTTGACTTTCGGTGGTTTTCATCTTCTCCTGCTCTGGCGAGTATGTGGGACCACCTGGAGCAGCCGGCTTTTCATATTGTGCGAGAAGGTATTGCAGAACCTCGAGTTGACCCTTCCTCGCAGCCGAATGAATTGGGAGGGTGCCCTTTGTAGTATTTAAGAGGTGAAGAGCCCCAGGAGAGTGAGCAAGCAAATCCTTGACAATGTCCAAGCGCCCACTCTTTGATGCCTCATGCAGTGGTGTTTGGCCGTGCTTGTCCATGGTCATGGGGTTCGCACCCTTTTCCATGAGCAATCTCGCAACTTCTGCGTGACCCTTCCGCACGGCTCGAAGCAATGGCGTGCTGTCATCATCATCCACCCGTGCTTCGAGATCAATAGGACAGCTTTCATGAGATAATAGCAACTCAGCAATTTCGAGATACCCTGAAGATGCAGCCAGTCCTAGAGGTGTGTGTCCGTCGGAAGTTCTCGCGTTTGGGTCGGCATTCTTTGAGAGTAGAAACTTGAAAACCTCTGTCTTCTCTTTGGAAAGAGCAGTGGCGAGTGGTGCCCACCCTTTATCGTTCTTATTCTCAATGTCCGCCCCATTCTCCAAAAGGATTTCCACGACATCCAGATGACCTCTATTTCCGGCCAGGTTGAGAGGCGTCCATCCACGTGTGCCCTGCTCCAGATCTGCCCCTGCCGCAATCAACAGCTTGACCACTTCGGTCAATCCAGAATGGGCAGCTTCGCTGAGCGCCGTCCAGCCGGACGCATCTGCTGTCTCTAAATTGGCGCCCTTCTTGACGAGGAGGTCAGCCATTTCAACGTTGTTTGCCTGGCAGGCAAGTTGCAAAGGAGTCGTTCCATGTTCCACGACCGCCTCCAGATTCGAGCCTTTATCGAGAAGCATCTTGACGACATCAATATACTTGCGTTTGACAGCAACATGCAGCGCAGTCCACCCCTCGCGCGATGTGAGATCCAAGCCCGGGTCATCCTGTTCCAACAACAACTTGGCTATTTCCACCTTGCCATTCTCCAATGCCAGCATGAGAGCGGTCCATCCTGTATTGTTCGAAACTTTGGGATCTGCACCTTTCTCTAGAAGCAGCTTGGCGATCTCGGTAGAATCTTCAAGACTGGCATACATGAGTGGTGACCAGCGTCTTTGGCCGACAGCACAAACATCAGCACCTCTCTCTATCAGGAGTTGGACCAGTTCGATCTTCTGCGATTCGATGGCCTCGAAAATCGCACTTTTGGGGTATGATCCGTCATATCCGATTTTCACTCCAGCGTCGAGGAAGATCTCAACGACCTCCAAGTGGCCAGATGAGGCCGCATGGCACAAACCATCGGTCAGGTCTGCATCTTTGACCCCAATCTTGACTGCAATATCGAGGAGCGCCTTGACTATTCCCCCGTGTCCCTGCGAAGCCGCCGCCTCCAGGCACCTCCTGAAACAGTCTTTCATGTGCGGGTAGTGGGTTTGAAGTAGCACGAACATCTTCTCATCCCCTCGGTGGCAGACTCTTTGAAGTGGCGTCTCATATAATGACGTCGTGATGTTGATGTCGGGGCACTTCTTGAGCAGTAGTTCCATCGCCCGGAGACTTCCTGAATCAATGGCGCCATAGAGTGCCGTCTCACCCGCCTCGTTCCGGTGATGTGCGTCTATGCCCTTCTCCAGTAGAAGCTCTATGATTTCGATATGGCCATTTCTGGCTGCTAAATGGAGTGGTGTGTCCCCCTTAGCTTGGCAAACCGGTGTGTTTTTGGCAAGATCAAGATGAGAGCATAGGAATTCCACAATCTCATAGTGGCCTTGACCGGCCGCACAGTGAAGAGCAGATGGACGTCTCCCCTCCTTTGGCTCTATACAAGCGCCCTCTTCATGGAGAAACTTGACAGTCTCAAGATGTCCTTTGGAGGCTGCTACTGTCATGGGTGTATGCTCCACTATATCGCCTGGCTCAAGGAGACAGCCGTGCCCAACCAAAGTCTTGACGGTCTCAAGGTGGCCATCCATTGCAGCTGCCACGAGGGGTGTTTCTTTATTTCGAGTCATCGCCTCCTTTGCAGCTCCTCTCCCCAGGAGCAGTTCCACGGCGTCGAGGTGATTATATGTTGCGGCCAGGAGTAGAGCAGTGTTCTGAAAGTAGTCGGTCGCCTGAATATCCGCGCCACTGTCTAGCAAGACTCGGAGGGTGTCGGTGTGTCCAAATGTTGCGGCTGCGTGAACGGGCGTGCAGCCATCGCGAGCAGTCGCGTTTGCAACGCCGGCTCCGTTGAGGATAAGGAATCGAACCAGATGCGTGTGCCCATTACGTGAGGCCAGGAGGAGAGGCGTCCCCTCTTCGTTTTGTTGGTTGATGTCTGCCCCCTCATCTAGGTGACTTTTGACGACTTCAAGGTCTCCCTTGCACACCGCCGTGAAGATGTCCATCGGTTCATTCCCCGTGGCATTGGACATGATCACTGCGTAGGGATTCAATCTCTCTTTGTTTAGACTGACTGTCGAAAAGGAAGATTTACTGAGAGCTCAATAAGTTCAGGCTTGCGTGGAAGAAACTGGCGTATCTTATACTCATGTAGATTCACGCAATGTGTTGGCAAGGCGGAATCGAATGTAAGCACGGAGGGGAAATGGATATATTCCAGGTCAAGCTTCCCCTGCGCTGGGCATTAGGCAAGCGCTAAGCGTTAGGCAGACGCCTTATTGTTGACCGCTGGATGGGTCGCATGGCAGGGATAATACACGTAGTAGTCAGAACTGTCAGATAAAGAGGAGAAGAATCCCTGAACATGTGCTTCAGTTAGGCCAAGGGTCCTCGATGTGGATTGAACCTCAAGCCTCCAATCAAGAAGCTGACGCGGACATAAGCCTCTCACAGGATAGGCTTGGAGAGCAGCTGAATCAACATCTGACGGTATGGTATCCTGTCCCCTGTTGAGCGAAATATCAGACCATTGCCAAGTTGCCGCATTCATTTGTATTATATTGAGCCACCAAGGCCTTCGAGAGAAGTATTTGAGTCGCAATGAGTCTCTTCAGCCTCTCGCCGTATCTTTGAGCAATAGGCATCTTCGTTGGAACTAAAACGTCTCATAAGATCTCGAGCCGTCAGCCACTAGTCCAAGGGCTGCATTGGCGACGCCATTTTTCGCCTTGGTCTCCCAGAGAGTGTTAGAAATTCTTGTGTGGGAATGTCTAGAGTCCCTGGGCAATCTGGAACTAAATCACTGGTAGCCTAGCAACAGGACTCATGAGTCAAGTTGAATAAATTATGTCCTCGAGGTAATAGTGAATATTTAGCATTAACTCAGAAAAGAGATCAAGACAATGTCTTCCATAGATTAGGCTTGCAACTAGCGACTTTGGTAATAATGGAGTTGTGGAGGTTCCATGGAAACGTTCCATGGAGGTTCCGTTATTTTGACTTTCTTGATATATCCGCGGAGCTTGCTTCCAAGGCTTTACTAATGGACTTGTGTGAACAATACTCATAGAGTGTCCCAATTGAAGTCTTATAATTATTCAGCTTTGTCTCTGAATTTGAAATAAGTAACCCGAGCCAGAGATAAATGTTCTAATGGGTTTTGTCTGTGCCAGGTATAAATTGAGGCCGGGGTTTACGTGAAAAGTTGAACCTTGGGCGATCCTTGCCGTGCTACTCCCGACAGATCTAAACCTGCTCTTTTACCGGTAATTCATACTCATTCACATTTCATACCTTTCTCTACTTCACAAATCTTTGGAGAAATGAAGATTGGCATCATCAACGCCGGCAATATCGGCTTAAATCTCGCTGTTGGCTGGATTCGTCATGGACACGATATCATGTTGAGCAAAGACACACACCCGGAACAGCTTAAAGAGCGTGCCAGGACCTTGGCTTTGGGCCGCGGGCTCAGCGAAACCGAGCTATCCAGGTTCCGGTACGGTTCACTTGCGGACGCAGCCCAGTTCGGAGACATTGTTGTCATGGCGGTTTATTTCCCGCGACTTGAACATGTGCTGGAAGAACTTCGCGAAGATGGGGTGACCTTGTCGGGGAAGATAGTGATTGATACAATGAACCCACTTAACGTTGATGCCAGCTTTAACCACTTCCACGATCTCAAGTTCATGGAGCAAACCTCCGTTACTGAGAAGCTTCAGCGGGAATTTCCAGAGGCTATTCTGTTTAAGGCATTCAATAATGTCCCAGCAGGTCTGCTTGACATAAAGAAATGGTCCGATGGTCACTCTCCGTCAATCATTTTTATTGGTGGAAACTCGGTCGAAGATGCTGGACAAGTTCGAACGCTGATTGAAACCTCTGGATTCAAGCCTCAATTTGCAGGGCACGATTTGTCGGATTCAAGAATATTGGAGAAACTGGGCATATTGATGCATCGTTTAGCAGACAGCGAGTATGGGGGCGACACTGGCATCGCTATTAGTGTAATCAAGAGCCAAAGCGAATGATATATCTGCACCGCAGAATGGTTCAACATGATGAGACACTTATGATTGCCTGTGAAGAGAAATATATCTCACTGGTAGTTACAGAGGCTTTCAAGTATGAATCAGCACCAGTTCGTTTCATACTGTCAAACACGGACGTATAGCTAAGATTGAGTTTTCACCTGGGTTGCGAAGATCATAAGAAAGCAAATCATGAATTTGAACGCTACACTTTACATGCTATAGCGTATTGCAAAGCCTTGATGGTTTGTGCTAGATTGAGACCTTCCAAACACAAAGGCTACCCGTACATCTCATTTCACGATAAGATAAGTACTATCTACCATTTAACAGGTGAGAACGCTTGGCCCAGGGATGGTGTATGCCTTGCCGCCGTTATCAGGCTTACCACCGGTGCCGTATATGTTGATCAGGATTCCAGGATCTGTGGCTTTATAGGCGCCGGGGAACTGCACGAGATCAGTTCCCGTCTTAGTTCCTGATCCCGTGACACGTATCTGGGCACACTCCATATAGAATTGTGCCTGGCCCTGGGAGTAAGCGGAATGGAGGGCAAGAATCTCCACGCGCATCAGATAGTCACCTGGAGCAAGGCAGCTTGGGACTGTGAAATAGTGCCACCCTCCATTGGAGATCATGGTGTCGACAGCCCATGTGCTTCCGCTCAAACCGGACTGAGCGATCTTGAACCAGCTCTGGCCGCTGGTGCTGGCTGAAGCAGCATTCGAGACTTTGGCCAGATAGACCATGATGGGACCTAATGGACAGCAAACAGATAGTTAGTGAACACCTTCCCAGCAACGCAGTCTCAGGGAGGAGTAAAACTGATACACTGTACCTTTATGACTTGCGGCAATGGGATGGTCAGGATCGTTTGAACCCTGAGCTCCTCCGATGACATGGCCCCACCAAGCACCGACTTGGGCGCCAGCTGGGACAGTAATAACTGTCTGGTCTGTGTGGCTGAGGCCATTGTTACAGGCAAACCCGCCATCATTGACGTTTTGAATCGGGTTGTTGCTATCAGGAGCACGGACGCCCTTCAACTGCCCTTGGTCAGCACCATTCACACTGACCTTTTGAAAAATAGCGTGGCCAGAGGCCAAGGTAGCGAGAGCAAGAGTGAGCAGCTTCATGGCTAAGCTAGAAATATGACGGCGAGTTTTGGTTAAGAAATTGTATTTGGATGTTGTTGATCATGTCGTAACCTGAATCTTTGCGCATATTTATAGATTTACTATAACAAATGATCAATGCCCCTGTAGAATTTCTATGCATTGTTGTGATGAATCTAAACTTAAATGCTTGTCGGAACGGCTCTCTCCGTGCTATAAGTTGAAAAGTTGCCACAAAGGTGCAATATGTCACCTTGAAACGCCCGTCATCTGTCAGACTGAGGAATGCCGGACCGCTGTGCAGAAAGGTAACTAACTTGTTTGGGTTTCAAATGTATGAAATCTCTAAGTGTTTCCGATGACTCCGAAGAGGCTAATATGACGACGTAGCATGAGGTCACGTACCATCTATTCCAGTCCCAATGTAACCATAGCTTGTCCAAGTCCATTTTAGAGTCACGATCTCGGCGGTGAGATTCTGAGATTGGGTAGGTCCAAACTGTGCCCTGTGTGTTCCACGATAGAATTAGATTGGTATGCGATTTATACTAGGAGGTACAGCATAATGGGCCCCAGCAGGCGCTTTCTCGAATCGAAAGGAACGCAACCAACGTGACTACAATAATTTAGAGTCGTCGTTCAACAAAAAAGACTTACAAAGGACCTCAACTTCTTAGATGCTATCCATCTCACGCAACTTAGAGTAAAGGCTCGTTTCGAAGCTGAAGCACAAAGCGATCCGGTTCCAACTGGAATGGTACATTACTTTCCTAACTGATGAACCCCGCCAAGCCTCTCTGTCGGCGTTTCTGTTCACTAGGCACTGCACATGACAGGTAATCCCCCCTTTCTACAGCATGAATAGACGAATAGGAACGTCTGGATATCTCCATGTGAGTGATGGGGTCAGCAAATGTGAGCACAAACTACTCTAGACAAAAGTGCAGGGTCAGGTCACACCTGGTCTGGTAGTGTAGCGTGATAAAGTTCCCTGGTATGCACCCATCGGGCCTCATATCCACGTTTCGGATACATGGAGGAAGCCCCGCCGTCGCCATCGACCTTGTTCATATCAGGGACTCTGAATTCGTATCAAGTATTGTTAAGAAATTACGGTTGTTTGGTCTGGTGTCCGGGTGCAAGATGATGCTTTCCGGCAGGCGAGCGAGTGCATGATGTGCTAGAGGATGAACTGGATGCAACATCCGGAAGGATGACAATAATATCTCCCCTTTTTTCAAGTTCATCATATGTAAAAGCTTCTTCTAGCGGAGTATTATATGGTCTTTACAAGAACTGCAACCTAGTAGAATATTCGTCAGCTAGGAGGTTTGACGGTTCGAGCGCAGTAGAGTGAATTCAAAGGACACAAATCATTACAAGCTCCAGATGACTAAACACTAACATATATTTATAGATGTCCATGATTCTCTGTGTACAAGGTTGGTAGCGTTTTGTTGCTTCCGTGTCCCATTACGTTTCGTCACATTATACAGTTGTGCCACCTTCCATAAGAATTTGACGAAGGATGAACCAAGAATGAAACACGATATTAGAAGAGAGCCAACTCCAATGTTTACTTGAGTTTGAAAGAAGCTCTCTATCAAAATACCTTTTATCTTTTTCAGATGGCTCGGGCAGGGATACCAAACGAAGAGACACAGCCCCGTTGCCTAACGTAAGCGGATTTCGGTTCTGGTTTATAGCAGAAGGGGGCTTACGGGGTGGATATGGAATGAAGATACAACCTATTGTTTTAATTAGCCATTAGAAGTGAATGGTAATATACTTAGGTCCGCCAGGTTTTCCAAGGGTCGTGATGGTGGACAAGGTGACCAGCAGAACCAAGTATTTCATTTCCTATGTGGGAACGACTTCGGCATACGGACGTGGCTGTATTGGATCAAAGATCTAAGGAAGAGCGATCTTGTATATTACAATATTGTTTTCAACGATTATTTTGACATAATGCCAAAAACTATAGTTTCATGAAGCCAACTGGCCCTTGCGGTACTTTGATGCCTAGATCATCCTCCCTTGACCGTTGCGGGGCATCCAGCTAGGCTTCTATAATTCATCCCAGGCGTTACAACTAGGCAGCACTGCCACACTTCAAACGCCAAAAATAGCTGTGGCCAAATCGACTGCAATCTGTCAAATCAGACATGAGTTAAATATTTAACTTGCGATGCCCCTCTAGAGCGATACTCTCATCACCAAAGCACCAAGAAAGAATTCTTCACCAACTCCTCATCAACATGGCGCTGGAAGAAAAGCAAATGCCATCGACCGAAACCGATGATGAGTCAATTGTCAGCAAGCAGCCATCTCCGGAAATCAAAGACATTGCCAACACAATAGCCCCCGAGACTCGCCATAGCTGGTTTCCGTCATTCCGCTCAATTTTCCCATCCTTGTTGTCGAAGGAACAGCCCGGAACACCAATCACACGGCTATTCAACAATGTACCCGGAAATCCAAGAATTACGTTGATAGGGTTAGACGGTGGAGGAAAGAGCTTGTTGATGGAGAAGTTCTTATCGTCCCGGAGCAAAGATATCCATAGCATCATGCCTACTATTGGTACCATCGTGGAGATGATTAGATCAGAAACAGCGTCTTTCCATACATATGATATTGGAGGTTGTCGGCCAAATTCCTACAGGCTCTTTGACCGAGCCATGTTCAGACAAGCGGAAGCAGTTGTCTTCGTGATTGATGCAAATGACCGGGATCGGGCTTTGGAGGCCCGCGAAGAGCTGATGATGGAAGGGCTCCTGGATCCTCACGGGATGCGCAAAGAAACACCGTTGCTTATTTTAGCAAACAAACAAGATCTTCTAGTAAGTATTGAAAACCCTAAAAAAGCCATCGTCAAGTAGTATCACAACCTAATCCTTAGTTCGCAGAACGCAAGAGATGCCGAGCAGATAAAAACCTTCTTTGTCGACAGCATATCAACATCCATAGGTGATCGTCCATGTGTCAGTAGTTCGAGATATATATATGGGGAAAAAAAGATGATGTTGCTAATGACCTTCACAGAATGTATTTGCGACGTCAGCCACTACCGGAGAGGGCATAGAAGACGCTTTCAAATGGCTCGCATCAATCCTAGCTGAGACAACCAGTAATGAAAAGGCGCCAAACCCAACGGTTCAGGGTTGGTCTGGGACCAAAAGGCCTACGCCAGAGGAAGAAATCCAGACTATCTGGAAGACATGCACTTATGTGAAGAATAAGCCGAAAGCAGGCACATGAGTATGGCGCTTTGAGGCTATGTTTCTCTCCCTAATTTTGGTCCACTGACATTCATTTTCTTTTCATCGTACTTGCGTTGCGGAACAAGAGAAAGGATTGATATTGAAGTACTTTAGTTAGTATTCAAATATGATTAGCTTCAATCAATATAGACCAAACGTCAACACCTGTCTTGCATGGAGATCGTAGAGTAAGCACTGTGGACAACGTTTTCACATGGCGTTTACTCAAGGTCCTTACAACTCTTTCAATTGCTTTAACGTACCAATCTAAAGACACTGTTGAGCCATACACGAAACTCACGATGACGGTTTGGCATTTGTTCCGTTCCGAACGCTAGTGCAATGACCATCTTGCTATATCTTGCCGTTAAACATGACATCAGCACTTCCTTCTCCTCACAACAAACAATCCGTCGCTTGCACCAAAACAATCATGTCTTCCTTCCAACCAAACACGTACGCCGCCAACACGGTCTTGGCGATTGGCCTCGTACCGGGCCTTGTGGGCATCAACGCGCTGCTCCGACCCGGCCATGCGCTCTCCCTCATGGGGTTCCCGAGCCCCCCTGAGGCCGGTGGCCGAAAATTGTCGCATTCGCTTGTTCAAATGATGGCCTCACGAAACATATCAATGAGCCTGACCACCATCACGCTGTGGTTCGTGGCTGATCAAGAGACCTTGGGATATCTGATGCTGGCGCAGGCTCCAATCGCGCTTATTGACGGCTTCATCAGCCGATGGCAGGTTGAAGGGATGGAATGGGGCCATTGGATAGCTGTTCCGATCAGCGTTGGTTTGGGTGCTCGACTGGTTGGATGGATTTGAGGCATTTCCTAAATGCGGACCAGAGCAACAAAACATCGTGTACATCATGAGCGATAGTATCGTTATCTCTCCGATCTGAACTTGATACTTACCACTCCCCTCGGCTTATGAAATAATGTTGGGACTACCAGAAATAATGTTAGGATTACCTGAAGCCAAATGTACAAAACATAGAACGTAGTTTACTTGAAGCTTTGTAAGACTTACTTGGGTTCACTTGCTATTATTGCTCAATAATAGAATACTAACAAAGTTAGGTATACTGATAATCTTTTTTTCACTCCCCTCACTAGATATCTAAATACCTATTTCACGCCCAATTGCAGCTGGGTTCGTACTACCCAGTCTACTCTAGATCAGAACCAACCTCACACTTATACTAGAAACCTCTTTGGCTTTCTAAGCTCACCGTCTACGAGATTAAGCTTAACTTTTATGTCGAATCCTCTACCAAGTTTTAGAGACTTTGTTCGATATCGGATCACTCACATCCTGGTACATGACTTTAGCCGTATCACGTGACAAAGGTGCACAGTTCAGGTGGTTTCCTCATGGTCTTATTTCTTCACAACTTGCACGGTTGGCTTCTTAGCTCACGGAATCGCCGGGTCTGCAAGCTACACTTCGACTATATAAATCCTATCGAAAATGGGCACGAATAATACAACCGTGTCAGGCGACTCTCGTCACGTTGGTCTTTACACCCCTTTGCGCGATGACAGGGATGAGGTTCGAGTTTTGACCCTGGAGCCCATTCATGACGACGGTCTTGTCCACTGCCGCTTAGAGACCGTCTCTTTACTGGATTATGGCCCGGAATATTCTTCATTTCTTGCTTCATTTAGCGGGAAGACCGACTTGACTCGTCGCATCCTCCGGTCTTGGACAGAGCTCTGCTTTCCACAAGTCGGTCACTCGCCTAAAAACAGATGGAAACAACGGCCCCATGCTGCATCATGCCGCTTTACTTGGGGCGACTTCGCGGCTCTGTCGTATGTCTGGGGAACCAGCAACAAAGAAAAGCATATAGTCGTGAATGGGGTCACCCGACGCGTCACGCGCAATTTGGAAGAAGCTCTCCGCAGGCTTGCACGCAATGACGAGTTTCGCGGCGAGTACAAAATATGGATCGACGCTGTCTGCATCAACCAGGAAGATGAACAGGAACGAGCTGTCCAAGTGAGGAAAATGAGACGGATCTATAGTAGTGCCTGGAAGGTCATCTCGTGGCTGGGTGAGAATGATGCAGGAGGCTGGATGCCCAAAGCCTTCGCTTTCTCAAACATGCTCGCCTCACTCCAAGATGATTCCCAAGATCTTCGGATGCTCTGTAACCCAAAGTCGGGAATATTGACCGATGCCGGGTTTCATGCGATGCATGAGATGACACGCCACCTATATTGGCACCGGCTTTGGATCATCCAAGAAGTTGTTATGGGTGCGTCATACACAGTATTGCGTTGTGGTGATCATCACCTTGATTGGGACACCCTGTGTAGGGCGATTGCGGTATTATACCATGGCGACAACTGGACCCTCAAGGACGAGATGCTGGGGAGAGCGTATCGTCGCGGGATTAGTACTCATAAAGTTTGGAGCACCAGCTCTCTGCATTTGATCCATCTGGATCTTCGTCACTTGAGCTATTATGAAGACGAAGGCACCAGCACCGAGCGTCTAGGCCTCCGCCGCTTACTAGAAGTGGCCAACTCAGCGAAATGTCTTGAGCCCCGTGATAAGGTCTTCGCTTTAGCTGGGATGATGGAAACGGAAATCACCAATGAAGTCACCAAAGCTTACAGCCTAGACATACCGCAGTTATTCGCAGCAGTGACTCTGGCATTCATCAAGCATTACAACAACTTGGAGCCATTGCGCCAAGGAAATCCGTGGGGACCGCAGAGAGCGCCAACATGGGCGGCTGACTGGAGTTGGAAGGGCCGCTTGCGATGGTCCCGCCCAGAGACTCCCTACGTTGGCCCTCTTTGGGATGTCTTAGATCCCGGGCCGCGGCCAGAGGAAATCTACAATGCCCATGGTGGACAACCAGCTCGCTATGTGATTCCTAATGATGGCCTCTTGCTGCACTGCGACGGGTTTATCTTCGACGAGATTGTCGGGTTAGGCGCAAGAGAGGATGGCATATTCGAGTGGGTCAGGGGAACAGAAACACAGTGCCCCTCTTGGAAAAGCTGCTACGGTGATGATCAGGAAACCGCGCAGGCACTCTCTCGCCTCTTACTAGGCGGCAGCACAGTTGGTGGACATGAACAAGCCAAAGGGTGCTATGAAGCCGTCTTGAGTCTTCCATCAACTTTCAAAGCAGGTTATCCACAGTTTCGCGCCAAGAAGTGGAGTTGGCTTGAGCACCGGGAGGGTTATTATTATAAGTGGTCGGAGTGGAGGAAGACGCATAACCACATGATGCTTGGCAAGAGAAGGTTAGAATCTTTTTTCACGGACAAAATACCGAAAAAGGCCGAGGAGTCCGCATACACCGCGGCGTTCGTTGGAATAGACAGAACTGTCAAAGAACGACGCTTCATGCTGACGGGAAGCGGCCGTTTCGGCTGGGCCCCGGACAATGCGTACGACCGTGACGGAGACAGAAATCAGGTGAGAATCGGGGACTTGATTGCGATTGTGTTCGGTTGTAGCACTCCACTGGTCATCCGACGATTTGGTAAACATTACCAGGTGATTGGCGAGGCTTATGTTGAAGGAATAATGAATGGAGAGGCTCTGATATTTCTCAAGGACGAGTCGTGTAAGAAGGAATCGTTTCTATTTTGCTAGAGAATATATCAGTTACATTGAAGACGCTTTAGATTTGCTGTTGTGATCTCCATCAACGCCTAATCTTGAACTTATCTTCTGCCAAAGGTCCTTGGGCTTGCAGTCGGAGCCTGAAGCTTGGGTTCGAAGACAAAGACTGCATGTTACAAACGGCCCGTTAACTTGCAAAGTCAGAGACAGGGGTGAGATCTTCTCATGCCCGAGCGATGGCTCTGGCTCGCCACAGAGTGCGACGGTTCCTTCAAGACCGAGACTGGAGCCAACCAGAACTAGTTGATCTGTCGAGTAACGAAAGATCCATTGCACTTAAGGAAAAAAAGCATGTTGTTCTGTAAACACACAGAGAATAAGAAGTGTAGTTTGCCATTTAGTTTCCAGTGGATAGTGCTGCGACATCATGCGTGGTTTTAGCTAGTTAGTGGCACATATTAAAGGAGTGTCATGTAAATAAAATATTAGAAGGCTGGTTTCGGACAGCACAGCTGAAGAGCGGCAAGCCAGGTAGTCAAAGCAGAAAGGCCTTATCTGCCCGAGGCCACTTTGTCTAATGTCTGCGTAATAGGCGATCTCAGGATCTACCGAAATGATTTAATTAAATTCAATAGTAAGATGATGTAATGCCCCGACGCCAAGGTGCGGAGAAATCTAAAAGTAGCCCAAAGGCAAAAGAAGCTCCCATCGGCAAGAAGGAGGTGGTGGTCAGAAGAGGATGAACACCTCATCGCTAGTGCTCTCGGAACAACTATGTGGAAGACTTATGCTACATATGTAGTTCTGAAGTTCATGAGCATTATCGCCTATCTCGCATCAGCAGCTCTATCTTTAATTTAGCACAGAGTCTATGTTGTCCAGAATAGCCTAAACGCTGCCCCTATTTCAGGTGGCCAAGAGTGAACTCATCTTGGAGTCGCGTAACAGAACCCAGACACCTCAACAATTTCGGTTCAGAGTGGGCGATGTCGCAATGAGGCTCTTTTCAGCCCAATGGGTGGTCGTCGCGTGACGCGGAACGTTACCGAATGATGGTAGAGATTGGTCCAGCCGCAAATGCATCCTTGAGCTGTGACTCGTCCACGTGTCATTCTCAGCGAGATACAAGCATAAAGGGATGGCAGGATTTATTGTGGCAAACATAATGACACCTTTGTGGATAACTTATGCATTTCATAACTATTCAATCCTCTCGTCATGGCCAAGCTCATGCACACCTTCGGATTCTTGGCCGTCGCCTAGCCGCCGTGGTTTCGTGGCTGTACGTGGCTGCATATATGCGGCCCGTATCACACCAACCATCACGCGAAGGCGACGAGACACATCACAAATTCGGAATAGCGTGGCCCTCGAGCGGCATGAATCAAGTCAGCTGTGTCGTCAAAGTGCAGTGATTTGCCCGTTCTCGCTGACTGGCACGCCGAAGGCTTGCAGAAAGTGAGAGTAGCAGCCACCACACCTGCGTTATTCCCTGAGACATGCATCTGGCCGCAAATTCGAGTGATGCAGTTGCCTAATCTACGCCGTATCGAGGCCCTGTCCGGCCACTCACTTGCTCCCGAGCCCACTAAGGGATGGGCAGAATGGTGAAAATGCAAAGCCCAGTTTCTCGAGGAGCGTTCACCTCGTCGCCTTGGTTTTCCTCACGTCAGAAGTGAGGCGAGAATCATTTGGCAGAGTCAAAGGAATATAAGTATGTGTTGCCCACCTGCCATCGAAGCGGTCAACCTCATCAATCTCTTTCTGATTAATTAGCTCTCCTCTGATGGACCGTCTCAGCATGGCACATATCTAGTGCTTTCAGACAGGCAGTGATCAGCAAACCTGTGCCCATCTGCCCAAGTGTGTAGCAGTGGGTGGAGGACGACTTGTGCGGGTGGGGAAATATTGCCTGGGTTCTTCCAAGGAACATGTGCGGCTCGGCGAGTTTAATATTGCTTTCGCCGTGACTGGCACCCCAAGGGCGCTCACTATCCAGTGTTACATGCACAGAGGATGGATCATAGATCATGTCACATTGAGAAAACTAGTGTGTAGAGCAAGATACGACTGAATTCCATTATTCATAAGACTGGAATATAACCCCACGGAATAGCATACTTGCAGTGGTCGCAACAGATAGCGCGGTGCGAACCAAAGACCAGGGACCAGAAGAGACCAGAAGAGACCAGACCTTGTAGAAGAGGCACAGAGACTAGGAAAAGAAAGGGGAAAAAGAAATTACGGAAACAAAAGGTGTGACTAAGAAGTATGAAGTCTGATCAGTCTAATAGGGCCGTTGCTGCCCATGCAGCTGCTCGTGGGGGCCTTGATCATCCTGCTGATCCTCCTCATGGGCCTCTAGAGGCTGTTGGGACTGAAGGTCCTGCTGAGATGGATTCTGAGGCTCAACAAATTCGCCCCAGCTGGGCGCGAGAGGGGGTGGAATCAGCGTTTGGGAGGGTGTGTTTGTCCCCATGGCCTCTGCCGATGGAGGAATCGCCACATTGATCAGCCCAGTTAGTAGAGAGACCAAGTCGATACCCCGTAGCGGCACTCCATGCTGCTGCATAACTGTAAGGATGCGGCCGTTCAATACTTCTTGTCTAAATGCAAGTTCGCGCATGATCCCCAGCGGCTCATCGAGGGTCAGATAGACATAAGGTGAATCGGGCCGGTAGGTGCCGTTTGGGAAAACACCGTCATAAAGAAGAAACCATTTATCCCAATCGCTCGAACGTCTTGCTTCAGAAAAGGCCTGGTTGATCTCCTCGAACTTCTGTACAGTGAGAATGTGTTCTGGGGGCTGGGTGGGCTGGCAGGTATTATCCTGGGTGTGGCGCTGCCAGCTCTCCTTGTCGGAAAATTCTGCAAAGCAAGTTGGGCAATAATACTCGCTCATGGTGTGAACTCTCTTAAGGTGACCCTTGACGTCTGCCACTCGTTTGAATGCATATTTGCAGTAGCAACGCCAGTGTCTCCAGGGATCCCACTTGTAGTAGACACAGCCGAAGTATTGGGGGACCTTGTCGGGGCCCAGATGCCGTCGCTTGGGGGGGCCTCTTCCTTCCCCATCACCTCCATCGTCCTCTTCTCCTGGTTCTTTCTCACCGCCAATGTTATCTCGACCCCTCTTCTGATGTGGGCGACGTATCATGCCTCCTCCATGCGAGGTAGAGGGGGCGCCACAACTGGAGGGCGGGTCGACGGGGTAGCCACCGTTCAGCACGCGGTTGGATGGACATTCCTTGTAGAAGTTACTTTCAAAGCCGTCGTTTGTGGTTTTTATTGTAGCATTTGATAGTTTTAGGGCATTTGTCGGATGAAAATCGCCCGTTACAGGAGTGTCGAAAGGGTGATCAAGTATCAAGGGGTGCAAGTCGGCTGTCAATCGGGGCCACATTAGCAAAACTGGGCTTGTGAATTATGACAGAACTGTGCAAACAGCTGCAGGCCACTGCAGGCCGTTGCATGAGGAGTGGAGGGTGGTGTGCTCACCGTCATGAGATTCTGCTCCTTGGCTGAAGGGGAGGGCGGATCGACCCAGGAGAAGATCCAAGCCCAGCTGCACACCCTCTTCATTGTCGTTGTGGCGACCTTTAAGTAAATGGCCTGCGCCCTTTCGAAGAGGATATGGTCGCAGACCTGTCATTATTCTTGACTGCTCGCGTAAGTTGCCACTTCGTGAGGTTCTAGCTGCAGCTGATGTAGCTGCCACCATCCTGGTCTGCACGAGCCTGTCGGAAGCCATCGTTCCTCACAGTAGGCCAGTCTTTCGAGGCCAAAGATCACTGCCGGTAACAGGACTGATTGTACACAGGTAGGCTTGCAGATTGCTTCAGAAGAAACTTAAGTCGCGAGAAGGAAGGAGAATTTATTCGAGGCAGGATAGCCAGATGGGAGATGCCCCCTTAGCTCAATCACTTGACGTGGTGGTCGAATTTGTGGAAGACCTTAGGCTTACCTGTGGTTCTTTCCCTCCGTCCAAACCTTCTGCTCAGCCATAGGCTCCCCAGCACCCCGTTTGGAATCTATAACACACACTGGTAAGCCCAAGAGACCCTGCTGGGATGACAAACTGAGCGGTAGTCAGGCAATGATTCCCTCTTCCAAAGGAGCGAGAGGAATGGCAGTGAGACATGAAATCCTGTATGCTAATCGCAGCCTATGAAGCTTCAATTGATTTTTCACAGAAGCTTCAAACAACCAACCAATCTGCTGACTAGGGATTCATTGTAGTGAAAATGAAGTATGTTATGGGTTTCTACTACGAATTTACGATGACATTTGTCTCTGTTGTTGTTTGACTCCTGAACCCCCTCCCTAAGCTTCCTTGAGATCCTACTGCTAGGATCTGTAGTGCTAGGCTGCGCCAGATTGCCTAACATCACCAAGTGACATGTGTTGGACCTACGCTATGGATCTCACAGCCAATCGCTGCGGGTAGCGTGGGAGGGAGATATCATAATAGAACTATCCTAACACTATTATACCTTAAATCCATTTCGTTCTGCCTGGGCAAACGAAAACGCCCGCATAAACTTGCTTTTGTGATCAACATGGTGGTGTGGGTGATAAGTGTATGGGACTGTTGACAACTTCCGTTTCTGATGGTTTGAAAGGATCAGTCGACGAATTCGATAGCTTCAAGAATACCGTGGATCCAGTTCACTTTTTCCGGGTTTCTTAAGCAGCGGTATCCCAGCCAAGTCGGGCATGAGGGCAGCGTACTCAAGCCGTGTGATCATGAGAGCAAGCACAGAATTTCCCTTGTACCCCGCCCCCTTCACCGCCATGACCAAGAAAGGCTCTCAAATGGTGACATTGGCCTGGTAGGCAGAGCTCCTCGGAGATTGGAATCTCATCTGACCGTAAGATTATTGGTGATGAGAGCAGCCCACCCATGCAATGTTCCCCGAGAGGGGGGAGGAGAGGGGCGGACACACATGTCTTCCCTCTTGCACCCCTTCTTTTCCTATGGACAATGAAGCCCCGCACAATGGCGAAAGCCGATGAGAGCAAGTGGAAAAAAGGAGTAAAATCAGAGCAAGAATGCCTTCTTGCTCGGAGTTGCCCGGTACTAAGGTTTTCAGAAAACATGACGATCCCGAAGGAGGCGGCACTCATAATATCACATGCTACAAATGGACAAAGAAGGGATTTTGTAGACCGTACTTCAAGCTCTCCGGGATTGGATTCTTCATCACTTCGGATAATACATGACCGGCTGAAGGATGACTATTGTGGTACCCCAAGTGCAGAAGTAGCGCCCAGCCACCGACACGCTCTCGACGCGCCCCTCCCCCTCCTCTGGGTCACACACCGGATCTAACCCCGTTATTCTTGGGGTCTCTAGCTGCAGTCCATGATGGCTGACATACTGAGGTATTGAACTTTGCTTCCAAAAGAATGTTCTATACTAGTGCACAACTGGCGTCGGAAGGGGCGCGGATGTCACACCTCTAAATCTACCCACCCAGTTTATAGACGCCGTCGTGGCTACATAGCCACAAACATGCATGACTGCGCACCTAACCCAGAACTTTAAGTTCCGTTTCAGCCGGTGATGAGATGCCTGCGTAACCGTGGCAGGCGGCACCATAATCTACGAAAGGGAGGGGACCGGCAACCCACACTGAGCAATCACATGGCATGGCGGCGAACAATTCAGATGAATTTAATACAAGTAAACTGCACAATTCAACAGAAACATTCCGACCTCCAGGCAGGGAGTGTTCGGGCGCATGCAACCAAGCCCCCCCTGCAGGCCAGCACCAACAAGGCTCCTGCATCTCGGAGCCCGACGCACCAAATCAGATCACTTGTTCGGTAAACGGAGGTTAGTGCTAGGGAGCTGCTAGTGATGCCACATCTCAGGCAATATTGGGCATCAATTAGTTTGTGAACGCCCCTTAAAGTCCTAGGCAAGGACCCCTTAGTAAACAACATCAGCATGCCTGCCTTCCTCGGTTTGTACACTCGCGTCCGTTGAGTAACTTGGGGGTGAACTAGGGTGCTCGAGAGGCATTTTATTTCCTCTAACTCCCTAGAGAATGCCTATTGTCCGTTCCTCTATCTGGGGTGCGGAGGCCCGTCACGACTCCTTTGATCAAAAACCTCCATTGACCATGAGGCAGCTCCTAATGGGTCTTATCATCCCACTACCATGAGCTGACCCTAAGCAAGCGGATTCTCATGGCCGGAAGACCATGCCTTCACGCTGGCCCAGGTGTGATGATATTACCATCACATCCATGGCGCGAGACATCTCGAATATGTCAAGCGGAGCTTCCTAGAATAAGCGCTGGGTCTCTTCCCCTCCATACATATCTCGAGAGTCGGGACTTCTTCCAGTCGCTGCATCCACAGAACCGAGCTCTTCCTTTAACCGCGACAGATGGTTGACGGCCACCCACACGCAGAATTTCACATTTGCATAACCGCAAAGGGCGGCGACGCGATGCCGCGACCTTCAACACGACCAGTCCCATCTGAGGTTCAGGATGACATGAACCGCCATCGATTAGAACCAACGTCCCGATAGAACACAAGTTACTGGTAGACGGATTGACAAGACGCGGATGCGACATGTCCATTTTGGCGTTGTCCAATTATTGAAGCAACACTCGGCGCCGTCTCACTTCGCTGGCACGTTGGGATAAAGGCAAGACGCAAGGATATCCCCCAGGAAGACCCATTGTTAGCCGGCGAGCCATCCACGACGACAAGGGTAGTCGCTGGCCCGGGCATCGTGGAGAACATTTTATTGACACCTTGTCGCTTCCGAATAGCAGTCACGACTCCTCAGACACGCTTGCCCCTGCGAAGTCTTTTGTTTGTTGGTGCGCCGTAGGATTACCTCCCAGTCGCTACCGGCGATGAGAGCGCCGTCCATTAGCCGCCCATGCATTCACAATAATGCCTTGCTCAAGGCAATTACCCGGTAAACGTGCCATGCCGGGTCGGTGCTGGAAGTGAGGGAAGCACAAGAGCAGTTACCTCCATCTCCCAAGCCAGCACAGAGCAGGGATAGCTCTATCGTAACTGTGACTTTTGACAACGGTTGATGCAAACCCCAATAGGGGCCATCGTTCCCTATCAACATAACTTATGCCCATACTAATAGCCAACTTCATTGATTAAGGTAAGTACAAGTAGGCTTGAAACGACTGGCGGACTGGTTATCACGTCCGCCACAATCCTATCATCCAATTCATTTCACCTTAATGAACCACCTTATCTCTATTTCAAGTGGAGTCATTAGAAACAACGCTCAAAAATGTCATTCCAACCAACTTATTTGTCGCCGTTGCATACGTAGCATGTGAGCTATGATTGGACGGGGATTACGGCGATGTAGTATATGATTAAACGGATTTTTCAAAGACGACATCGAAGCCCCAAACTATTTTCAGGAGCTATATCTTAGCAGATATAGGTATCAACTACAACTCAAAGTGACAAGCCAAGGCCTAATCATCTTGAAGAAGCTACTCGCAGAGGGATGAGTGTACCCCAGGAGCAGAGGCTTGGTAAATTCTTAGTTCGCTCTGAGTCAAGCATACCTAGTTTAGATCATATATTTAATAATCAATTTGAGGAATAAGAACCACTCTTGAGGAGTTGTTTCCTCATCCTGGTGTTTATTGCAGGGGTGTTAGGTAGGTATTTATCCCAGCCAAACAAAGAGGTCTAAGTAAACATAACAAAATCAGACGATGCTGAGTCAGGGCAGTCGCTAGCTTCCAGTATTAATTATGCCTAGCCAGACGCATCTTTGTGCGTCTAGATCAACAACGGTCGGTCATTGGTCAGCTGATTGGACAGGCGTTTTCAGCTCGTCCCGCCCGCGCCACATGACAATCTGGACACAACGCGCGCTCCTCACTCAGGTACAGACGGATCAAAGTCCAGGGCCGTGAGCACGTGGAGTTGCCGGTGGCCTTATGAGTTGCGATTAGCGGAAACGGCAAAGAGAACATCTACCACCAGCGGTCATGGCAGGCTTCAGCCAACTGGCTGGGCTGCCAGAGATCGTGCGGGACTCTCAGCTCCCCGCAACGTTCCGCTGGGAGGGCCAGCAGCAGTTCACAATCCACACTCAAGGTGCGAGTCGGCGCGCCAAACAGAGCCAGGAAGTCTGGGCGCACATGGGCACATTGGGCCAGGGGGGCTTTGGATCGGTTGAGCTGCAGGCCAAGCAGTCGAAACGGACTGGACAGACGAAGGAGCTCCGGGCAGTTAAGTCTATCCGGATCCCAGAGGATGAGCTTAATGAAAACCGCGAATTCTATGTGAGAGAGCTTGAGGCCATCGTCAAGTTTTCGCAAGCACGGGTAAGTGTTGCCTTCTCACTGGCCAATTTTGATCTACAGACGCTGATGCTTGGCTCGAAAGTATGGAGAGCTCTTTGTCAAATCATATGGATGGTTTGCGTGTCAAAGCGTCCTCTACATCGCCATGGAGTATTGTGAATTGGGGGATCTGCAGAAATACCTGTTCAAGAAGTGCCAGGATAGACGATTGCCTGAGAACCAGGCTCACGACATTGCTTCCCAGGTGCTCGACGCCTTGACGAGGATGCACGAAGAGAAGTTTGCACATCGCGACCTCAAGCCAGCGGTATGAAGCCGGCTCATCTCTTTTCTCTGTTATATCTCAAGCTAATTCGTTTCTACGGCAGAATATTCTGATTAAAAGCCACCCGCCTACCCACCCGTGGGTGGTGAAAGTAGCAGACTTCGGCATTAGCAGACGGGATCAAGGCACGACAATGAATCCAACAACCAGTGTGCGAGGTACCGGTTCTTTCATGCCACCAGAGCTGCTCGGTTTCAGTGGCGAAAACTCTAGGGCTGTGGACCTTTATGCAGTTGACATGTGGTGCTACGGAGAAACCTTGTTCAGGATGCTGACGGGTGGCGGTACATTTGAAAAGCCAGCAGACTTGTACGGGTATTATTTCGGCCATGTGAAATTCCCAAGAGCTATTCTTGAGGAGATCCAACTCAGTCCTGCGGTGATTGACTTCCTCCAATCTCTTCTCACCTGCGACCCAGCAAAACGTCTTACATCGGAAACGGCGTTGGATCATTCGTGGATGGAAACGGATTTCCACGGTTCAGATGCATCATCTCGCAGAACATCCCGTCGCTTATCTTCAACCAAACCATTGGATAGTATCGACCCTTCCATGTTGGAAAATACCATTGTGCAGATGGCCCAAACAGAGAACACAGACGCCTCGGCCTCCTGGACGGAAAACTTCTCGCAAATGCACCTCGACGATTATCAACAGACGACTGCATTGCACCAACAGACGGCACCTTACTCACAAAACCATCCTGCTACATACTCCCCCAATGTGTCAGTCGGCAGTGAACATACTCCAGCTACGAATTCCGAAGGTAACCATCCAGGCTTGCCGACCTTCAACATGTCTTCTGGGAATAGAAGGACATCAAACCAAGGCGATCCGCTGATGGAAGACACTGCAGCATCTCTGTCTTGGACCTCCGCTTTCCCAACGAGTCAGACTTTTGAAGGAAAGGAGCCTTTTGTTGGCGCTGATACACCCCAAGTTCAACCCCCACGTCCAAGTTTCACACCTCCTGTAAATTCCCCGAGTCAAAGAAGACCTCAGATCAGTCCCACACCTGAAGACGAGTCAGAGGCTACTTTGGTCCCAAACCCGAACTCGCAAAACGAATCCAAGGCAAATCACATTGGAGCATTTGATGAAGACCTTTATCCTTGGACTCAAAAGTCGGCCCCTATCACCCAGAGAGAGGACTCAGGGTTGGCAGGCATCCCCCAGAGCCCACCAATTTCAGATAGTGCCACGCAGGGAAAGCAAGCCGAAACCGCTGCACAGCGCCATGACGTCGTTTATGTTGAAAGATCCACCAACGAAGAGAAGATCGCCAACCTCAAAGCTCAAGCGGACAGATTCCGTGAGAATAAAGAATTCGAGTCCGCGAGGGATTACTTTACAAATTTCTGGGAAAGTGAAAGGTTGACCCTTGGTGAAGAGCATCCCGTCTCAATTTTTGCTTTGGATTGTCTTATAGAGGTATTGGAAATTCTATGCGAGTACAACACAGCGGAGAAGTTGTGCAGAAGAATGGTTACTATTCAGATGAGGACACTAGGATCGAACCATCAGAACACGGTTACTAGCAAAAGCCAACTCGCATATTACCTCAGAAAGCTTGACCGGTTCGACGAAGCCATCTCCCTATATCGAGACATTATCAGCTTCTGCAGACACAACGGATATCATTCTTTGCTCTGCGAAGCCTTACACCATCTAGTCTACGTTTACCTAGATAAGCGCGACGTCACACACGGTGAATCGGCATTCCAAGAGTATATCAAGGCAAGAGGCAATGTTCTGGGCCATACGCACGAGCACATCATCGATGATGTTTATGAGTTCGCCATCGCCTTATTCCGCAAATACGCTTACTATTCAGAAGCTTCCAGAGCAGCGCAACGATTCTTCCAGCTTACAGACTCTTTATCGCGGAACGGTGAGCCTCTCTCGCGGAAGACTCGATCCCAACAAGAGGAGTTGAGGTTGCTGTTCGCGAGTCCCCAAGTCACGCCTGGCAAGAAGAACATTCGGCCCCAGCCATCTCCGACTTACGGAGGTGCGGCGTCCCACCACAACACTCCTCCTATACAACTCAAACCGTCACCGTCTTATTATCCTGACAGCCCTATGCTCAACACCAGTGAACCCATACGTCTGAAACCGTCTCCTGCTTACAGCTCATCATCTCCTTCTTATTACGAAGAGACGAATAATTTTAGCAATTACTCCAGTAATTCATTTCTCGGCCCTGATGGTGTTGTTGAGGGCACCGGTGATCAAACTTACGATCAATGGAAACAGTCAAATACCACCCAACCCAAAGAGAAGAAGAAGAGATTGAGTAAACTAAGAGATCTTTTCTCGTAACTAGATAATATATGTGTTCGAGAATATATTAGCTTATTCTAGACCCAACTTTCATATTTTAAAAAAGCCTTGAATCACAGGGTTCATGGTGCTAGCTCTTCAACTGCATGACCTGCACACCTGGTATTTCTATTTCATAAATATACAGAAAGATAATACGAAATGGTACAAGCTTAAACAGATAGCACCTTGATGTTCGTCGTGGCCATCCGAGTGGCGAAACTCTATGCGAGATGGGAATTCCCAGTACCCGTCTGATGGTATGTCGAACTCATCTTCTGTCTCCAATTGCCTGAAGCCAGTTCTCCCTACTCAGATCATCCGGTATCCTAACTTCACTCTTGCCAACATAGTTCATCGTCATATAGCCTAAGGGATGCAATCAACTCTCCGGCACAAGCAGTTCAAGGCTTCGTCCAGGGTGAGTGGGCCCCTTTCCCCAGCCAATGGAGCAATGGGATGATGAGCGATAAAAAATTTCCATCCAATAAACCAAAGATAGTTCGCGCTGGGCATTAACCTACAATGGTTAGTTTTCTTATAAGGGTTAATCACTGGTAAAAGAAGCCAAGAATTTACTCAACGGGATCTCGATTGCCCTCAAATTTTTCTCTCCCTCAACCCAAAATCACGCTGGTGCTGCCAATCCATCGCGATTGATTTCCATCGGATCACGACTACCAGAATCTAATATTTGAAAGGTTTGCTACTCGCGACGACTTTGGGTGAACCGCGACGCTAATAAATATCATGTCTCTCCAGAGCCCACAGCTCACAGCAGTATGGCGCCTCCTCTCTCGGGAGTCCATGTTCCGGAGGCCACTGGCCATCTGCTATTATCCAAGCCATGATCGATTTTAATCATCCAGGTACTTAGACTTGCATGAGCCGGTGCCCGGTCCTGCTCGCCTCTTTCTTGCTCGTGTCCAGGTCCAGCGACCGATTGCGCTGGTTATCTGGCCTGGCGAGGAGTGGCGACAGGAGCGTGGCTGAGATTATACGGCAATGAACTTGATCTGGATAATACCAGCGAAAGGATCATGCTCCTCCCCTAATACCCGTCAGCTTTGAGCGAATGCCCTAACTTGTGCAGGTTAAAGATGACATCCAACCCATCTTCCCATGCGCCAATTGGAGCGGCTCCCGCGGCCGCTACCTCTATCGTTGCTAACGAAAAGACGGCCCAAGGCGACCATGAAGCGCTTCCGCAGGCTTCAGCTGTTGTCGATGGCCAGGATGAAGCGATCGCTATGGTCGGAGAGCAGACGCGCGCTGTCGATCCAGTAGTTTCGGCACGAGCTGTCCGAAAAATCGACCTTTTCCTCATCCCCAGTATGATCCTTGGATGTACGTAGCTTCTGTCCCGTGCTGTCGGCGTATACTTGCTAACATCCACCCTCCAGATGGTCTTGTGTACTACGACAAGGCTATCCTTGGATCTGCCGTCCTCTTTGGCATGACCACAGACCTCGGTCTCACCGTTGTTGACTCATCCACCACCCCGCCTACCGTAGACACACGTCGTCTTAGCTGGGCCACCTCCCTCTTCTACTTTGGAATGCTGGCAGGTCTGTACCCGATGACATTTGCTCTCCAGCGCTTCAACATCGGTCGCGTCCTCGGCGGTGTTGTCATCCTCTGGTCTGGTATCTGCATGCTCACTGCCGCTGTCACCTCGCACCAAGGCCTCTACGTCCAGAGGTTCTTCCTTGGTTTCGTCGAGAGCATCATCCCGACTGGGTTCATGTGCATCGTCTCCAGTTACTACACCCAGTCGGAGCAGTCTCTTCGCCAGAGCTGGTGGTTCTCCTCCACCGGCCTGTTCACCATTATCGGCGGAGGGCTCAACTATGGCTTCGCACAAATCACCGGGGGTGGGCTTCACAGTTGGCAGTACATCTATCTCATGGCTGGCGCTGTGACTTTCCTCTTTGGTCTGCTGTGCTTTGTCATTCCCAACTCACCCGTGTCCGCCTGGTTCCTTACCAAGGATGAGAAGTTTGCCGCAGTGGAGAGGCTTCGGTACGGACAGACTGGTGTTCGATGCACCACCTTCAAAAAGTCACAGCTGAAGGAGGCCATTCTCGATGTCAAGATCTGGCTTGTCGCACTGATGATGGCCTCGGCATACACGGTAAATGGTGCGGTGAGCGGGTTTGGGCCTCTGATTGTTTCCACATTCGGCTGGTCGACACTCGACTCAATTCTCTTCCAATTTCCCCTGGGCGGCCTATGCTTCATCGTTATTCTTCTCACTGGCTACCTCGGATCCAAGTTCAACAACATTCGCATCTTTATGCTGGTCTTTACATGCCTCCCGGTAATTGCTGGTTGTGCAATCATCTGGAAGAGCCAGTGGTCCTACCACGCGGCTGCTCCTGTGGTTGGCTACTCCATCACCGGTTTCTTCGGCGGCACTGTGAGCCTGATCATCACTATCGGCATGTCCAATGTGGCAGGACACACCAAGAAGAGTTTCATGGCCGCGACCATCTTTGTTGCTTACTGTGTGGGCAACATCGTTGGCCCGCAGCTTATTTGGAGCGAGACCAAGAAGGACCATTACCCTGCCTTGTGGACGGGTTTGATCATCTGGTGAGTAGTTTCTGGCCCATGCCATCCCTGAAGCTGGCATCGAGCTGTAGGCTAACCGTGTACATTTCAAGCTATGTCATTTGCATTCTCGCATCTCTGACCCTCTACGCTGTTCTGCGTAACGAGAATAAGAAACGGGATCAGATCCCTGTGGACGAGACTGAACGGGCCAAGTTGGCATTCCAAGATCTAACAGACAAGGAAAACCCGTACTTCCGTTATGTCTACTAAATTACACGTCGTGATCTAGGAGGGATGTGGCGGGCTTGACTTTGCCTGCCTTCTCCCTACCACGGTCCAGTGTTAGGAGGATGTATGGGTGGTAAGTATCTGGATCAACGGCTGACCATTCCTCGCTTATGGAAGTCGAAGATTCATTGGTAAGAGAGATTACAATCCGTTAATTAAAATGGCTGCAACAAAACTCACAGCAGCTGCCTGCTGAACAGTTGTAAAGTTGAAATATCCAGACTGTATTTTCAGATATATCCTATCATTTCCTCACACAAAGCACTTTATCTCATCAATGTGACTATTTGATCATTCTCTTTCTGAAGAAAGTGTTAATCCTTCGTAGAGCGGATATGCGATGCCTCGGTTTTGGCCCCACGGACTCGCGGATATGCGGCTGAGGGCGCCTTTTCCGCCAAGGCGATATCGGAGTCTCACAATGACGAAACCTCCATCAATTAAACGCAAGGCGGTACGCAAGTAATCCACAAACATAAACAATTATCAGATCTCTTCCAGTGACTCTTTCCAGTCGGTGAATGTGTGTTGATTGGCTGTGTGTTAGCAGAGAGCACGTCACCCCATCAAAAGAACGCGACCATGGCAGCAAGCTTGAGATCATTCAGACTACTTACAGTCAACACCACCCCGGAGCGTGCCAAGCGTGTCGTTGGTCGACTCACTGAGACTCTGAAAGACAGATACAATATCACCCATGTCGATAATTGTCAGAGTGAGATATTCCTCCCATCCTGTCGAAGACTCAGCCAAAGTGGACTGACGAACGATTCAGGGATTGATGAAGTCACTTCCAAGGTCGAGCTACACAAGCCTGACGTTCTGGTACAAGCGTAACATCTCACAACATGTGGATGGACTTTTTTTTAAAATAGAGGCTAAGATCATGGCCTTTAGTTTTCAGCATCTATGTGGACGCCCGAAGAACATCAACAGATTCATTCCCTAGCGCGCGCTGCTCTGCCGAACATCAAACTTCTTGCCATTCCCACCGGCCTCCATGTTGACAAAGGTCCGGATGGAATTATTGAGTTTCTCAAAGAGCAGGCCCCAAAGATCCTAGAAGCATAACCTTGATATGACTCCGAATACACAAGTGGCATGGGAATCCTGAAAAGGCTTATCATGAAGGAGTATGAACACAGCTGAGAATAAAGCATAGGGATATACACATTTAATAAACACAATTATTCAAATGTAAAATATACTTCTCGTAAGTTCTATTTCTCCAATGTACTCGGCCAAGTGTTGCTTGCTACAGAGTCGATATCCTCAGAAATAGGAGTTGGCCAGCTGTTCCTTGAGGCGGGGTCTATATTACCAGAGAAAGGACTTGACCAGGGGTTGCTATAGCCAATTAGTTGGGTTGAAATTGAAATCGAGCAGGAATTTGAATACCTATCCGGCGTGTCATCTTCCGATGGGCTACTGGAGAGCTTCTCCTCTACCCATGGATGCTTCAAAGCCTGGGAAGCTGTAGGTCGAGAACTTGAAGAAGCAGCCATCATCTGCCTAACTAAATCCTTGCAAGAATCACTAGCACCAGCTTCGGCCAGAGGCTGGATTGGAAATGACTGGCGCTTCGTCGCATACTTCCCTAATGCCTGGAGGCTTCCAAAGGCATGTTGCTTGGTCAACAGGTAGTAGGTGATGGCTCCCAGGGCCCATATGTCCACAGATACACCGTAAAAGGTACCATCTGCCTCTTCATGAACTTCTTCAGAAATTGTATCTGGGCTATATATCCCACAGACTTCAGGCGCTTGGTAGTATTTCGTGCCAATCTCCGTTGTACGAAGGGCTGTTGATTCTTCTTGTGCTCTTTTTGATATGCCAAAGTCGCATACTTTAACCCACCAAATTGGAGAAGTTTCCATGGCCAGGATGTTCTATGGATAGCCCTTAGCAATTGTGTTCAGATCCGTTAGGTATAACATCACTTACTCCCGGCTTTAAATCTCGATGAGCAAATCCATTGTCGTGCATGTAGCACAGGGCTTCCAGTAACTGGCTTGTTATTGTTCTCGCCTCTGTTTCCGGGAACCTTTTTGTTAAGTATTTTTGGAGGTCGCCTTTTTCATGATACTCCATCGTGATGAAAATAGCGCTCTCGTTCTCGTACCAACCCAAGGACTTGACGAAACAGTGAACATACTACGCCCGGTTAGATGGAGATTGAGGCTGGAGGGAGGGAAGGCTTTGTGGTATATGACTCACATTTGGGTGGGAAAACTTGGCGATGGCTTCCAGTTCCCTATTGTAATCGATATTCCTGCATTCATATGGTCCTTTCCCAATCTCCTTGACGGCACGTAGTTTGACTAGAGGATGCAGATCCTGGCTTTCTTCAAGCCAAACTGTTCCGTATGTTCCAACGCCGAGTTTTCCACGTCTTCTCCACCGATTTTCCTTTCTCACTCGCCGCTGTCGTGAATTTGGATTTGACTCAAATGAAACGTGGCAGACTACATCACCTTCAGGAAATGTTGTCTCCATCCACGAGTCCCGTACCAAATCAGACACAAATCGTTGCCGTCTCTGCTTAACGGACGTTTCGCCCCTTTGCTCAGGTTCAGCCTGCAACTCGCGTCGGGGTTGAACGGAGGGTGGTGGAAAGAGAGCATTTCCAGGCGCTGTTTGATTTGTTTGGAGGGGAGTTGGTCGCCTTTGAGCTTCGATATCAACCAGTTGCGACTGAAGTAAACTGTCACCCGGCTGTTCAATATTTGGGGGAAGGGATGCCACGGTAGTCCCAGATAGATTTCCGTCGGATTCCTTCGGATCTTCGCCACTATTCTCGGGTCTGGGCCTTCGCCTTCGCTTCACTACCAACCGTGGGTTGACGTAACCTGGAGGAGGACTTGGTGATGAATCTCTATCGAATGATTCTTTATTCCCATCGCCAAGTTCACGTCGAGGATTCCTTCTTCGATTTACTACCAAGAGAGGGTAGACGGGTGTTCCAGGAGGAGACTGGTAATTTGATGGAGAATATCCCATAGGATCATACTGGCTGTATGTCTGGTTTTCCGTTGGTTTCGGAGGTGGAGGCTGGTAGGTCTCCGTTGTTGTCTCATGGCCTACCTCCTGGTACGCCACACCTGGGCGTTCCGGACTAGGCGAGCCCCTGCGACGGCCATTCTTTGAAGATTTTCGGGCTAGGACCTGTTTAAAACCTAATCTCAGGTCTGGAAAATCAGCCAGGATGAGGTCTACTTGAGGGATAATTGTTTGTAGGCGTGAGTGCGAGGGATCATCTGACTTAATCGCTCGGATGAAATCCAAGAAGACTCTAGGGTGGTTTTGACATTGATCCTAGAGGACTATATCAGCGAGACCACGTCAAATATCAAGATAATGCCGAGTTTATCTTTCTTACCTGAACAAATTCAATGTATTCGACCACCTCGTCTCCTAATACCGACAATGCGTTTTTCCACTCGCCAGAGGTCAGGTCTTCTTCTGTGTTCTCCTCGGCGCGGCTTATCTCGTCAATGTATGAAGTTTTGATCGGCCGCCCATCCCGAAGGCCTTCGGTAGAGCTCGTTCGACGAGGTAGCGGTCTGCGTTTAGGAGGGTCCCCTGCCGTTCTCGGTGGTACTTGAGGATCATACGATGGGGGCCGAGCATGTTCCCTTGCACCCCCATCGCTTGAAGCCTTATCGGTCGACTTCCCTGTGTAACCTCGAGATGCAAAAGGGGATTGCAGTGGAGGAGACCAAGTCGGAGCAGTAGATGGTCTGGGGTTGTTTGGCTGTGCCGTGCCGACATGGCCAGCTGGCGTTTGTGGTGTTTCCTGCCCAGATAGGTCGAATGCGTCACTTCCTGAGGCAGCATCTGGAGCACCTTCACCCAGAGACGTTGAGATCAACGATGGGCGTGGAACAGCAGGCACACGCCGATTGATTCTCGCAGACCAGCGGGTCGTGTGGCTATGCTTTCGTTCAAAATCCAACTGCTGTCCATCATCTGATATGAGTCTCCTTACTGCCCCAGCTTCCAGGCGCAAATCTCGTAGGCTGTCTTCCCCCGATGCCTCATACATGCTGAGCCGGCTCAGTACATTGTCTCTTTGTTGGCGCACCAGCGCTTCGAAATAACTTGAGCCGTTGTGGAGTGCATGATCAAGTACCTGCAAGGCCTTGAGTATCAGGACTGGATCGGAATGTCCAATCGCGTAGGGGTCTGGAACCCTTGGAGACAGGTAGGAAAGGAGGGCATTGAAGACCCTCTGATCCTGGATCTCGCTACAGCAGATGTTATTAGCTCGTTTCGTTCGGCCTCGTATGCGAGGTAAAGTTCAATTGGCATGTACGCACGAGCTGCATGTCGTCTCAGAAACGAACTGCGCCAACCCGATGTCAAGTCGCCCGCGACCGTCAATGGCCATGTAAACGCATTCAGCTCCAAGGCTCTCAGAGAGCTGTGTCTGAGTGAGCCCTATCCCCACGCTGGAGTATACATCCATCCTTGTTTATGCTCGGTCGGTTCGATACTCGGTTCGTTTTCGAGCGTCTACTCTTGCTGGCTGCTGCTTTCAGATTATTACGACGAAGTTCAATATCGCTGGCATATCGCAGGTCGGCAAATCGATCCACAATCGTAGCCAAATGGAATGGCCATGCCTCCCCCGGTCGGTGGTACGCAAGAAATTCCTACAAGAAACTGATACAGAAAGTATTTTGCTAGATCAGCAGAGTGCAAAGGTCGGCTTTGAAAGGGAGAGAATCTGCCCGCTCCATCTTAACCAGCGGTGCAACCATATGACGTGACCACCTGAACAAAGAGCAGTGCGCCGGCACTAGAAAAGATTCCATTGTCTTTTACTGAGCGCCTGTGGTGGCTTAGCCAGTTGGACCCAGGATGGTATTGGGCAGACAGGAAATATACCAAGCCAGATCAGAGATGGTCAACTAGAGGGACAGACTTCCTCACTAGCTCATCATGAGAAAGGTCGAGACTCTCACAAGCCACGCGATGATAGAGACGAGAGCATGAAGCCACTCAATTAGTAGCTACCCTACATCACGCCATGACATCATAGTGTCCTGCTCAGCCTCCTTTTAGATCACGTGATTTGGCTGAGGGCTGGGGCAGGCTTCGTGGCGTTTTTTTGCTCGAGGGGATCACCGTGTGGCTGATCAACTGCAAGTTCTACCGCCAGCCCTCATCAATTCGACCGAATTCTCTTGTAGTATAGTGGTCAGTATGCGAGCTTGTCACGCTCGAGACCCGGGTTCAATTCCCGGCGAGAGAGAATTCTCGCCATACGACTAAGTCGTCTTTTTTATTTCTATTTTTGTGGTGTTTTTCCAGCCTCACTTGCCCCAGGTAAATACCCACTTACTACCCTATAGCTTGCTCCATCAAAAGAACAGATCACGTTCCCGGCATCTTTTATTTACAGAATCGTAGACGTGATATGGCATGGTTAGAAAACATTATTTTAACATGCATAGCAGTTGTATTTGGCAACAAATCATCCTGGAAGGCGCACGACAAAGAGGAAGAACTTTTAAGTCGACACATCTCCTTGATGCTCGTAGATACATTGTTAAAGAAACCTCATTCAATTCAAACCGGAACGGCAATCCGGATATAGCCAAGTTGGCTGCTGTTTGAAAAGCCGCTGACTAATGCATATTCACCCCAGACCAATTTCCGTTCTCCACAATGGACTGTTGGCATTTTGCCAGGATCGCGGCTTGTCTCGAGACCTCAGCCAATCGCCCAATAACCTTCTTGTTCCCCCCTGCAAACCCGTAGAGCGCATATGGGATTCCCACTTCATTGCAGAATTCCTGCACTAGCTTCTGCGTGGTTCGCAAATTATGCCTCGGGACGCGAGGAAACAGGTGGTGGATCACCTGGAACTGAAGCCCGCCGTGGAAGAAGTCGAGCCACTCGGGGCAGTCAATGTCCATCGTGGTCCTGAGCTGTCTCTGGGGGAATGATTCGTCTGGCCCGAGGTCCATTGTGCTCATCGCGAAATGAGACTGGACGATTTGCAGGTGGAGCGGAGACGCGACGACGTTGGCGATCAGGGTGAACAGTAGTCGCGTCTTGAGATCCGGCAGAAGAGTGTAAAGGATGCCGTAGCCGAACCAGAAACAGAAGAAAAGCAGGCCGAATAGTTCCAGATGCCTAAACCAGCCGGCAGGTCCTTTCTTGGGGCCGCGCCCGGAGAGAAGGTATTCCCAGGAGAGGAAGAAGAGATTGAACCGGGCCAGGGCGAGGATCGGGTAGTATGTCCAAGCCTGGACCCGGAGAAGGACTTTGGCGATTGCATCGTATCTCATCACTCGATTGTGGTACGTAGACCGGAGGTTGGACAGAAGCCGATGAGACACAGCGAAAATCGGCAAATGCTCAATATCGGGATCGTGCTCTGGCGCATTTGTCACAATATGGTGGACGTTATGGCTCCATTTCCACCAACCTGCGGATAGACCACCAAGAAAATTGGCGACGAGAATGGCGAGGACGCTGTCGAACTGGAACGAGTGGGTGATAGAGATGTGGCTCGCATCGTGTACGACAAAGCCAAGCTGATGCCACAGCACTCCAAGCCAAAAGGCAGCGGTGTAGTACCACTTGAAGTAGAAGGCCAGGGACATGCAGAGGAGGAATAAGCTGTATCGACAACACTCCACCCCATACGACGTCCAATAATTGCAGTCATATAACCCTTCATTGTAGACTCGATTGTGGAGCTCGCGATACTTGGCTGCGACCTTGGCCTGCGTAAGGTGATCGGGAGAAGGATATTTCTCCAGGTCAAGGGTGGTGTATTCGTGCGTGATGGTATCCAGATACGACATTCCATCCAATGGTTCTGCTACAGGAGCGCCTTTCTCAACCTGCTCGCTGGGACTGATCTTTGGGCTCGATCGGTTCCGAAGCTCCTGTGTCTCCTCCTGATCACTGATCGAGGCTGTTACAGAGCTAGGTCTATCCACGGGAGGTTTGATCTTCTGGGAATCGGCTTCGATCTCGGCTCGGGTTCGGAAGACACCTCCTTGGAAGGGAGGGACGAAATTGATCCAGCCGCCTTCGATGCGCCCAATTCGATAGCGCAGCATTTGCTGTCTGGTCTCAAGCGAATGATAGCTGCCGTGTTGAGGCACCGAGTCAGCACACCTCTGCCTGGAGTGTATTTAGCAATTGAACCATACGCACGCGTCAACTTCGTCCGAGGCATCTTTCCCAACCATATGCCGGATAGCCAAGTCCCCTCCAGGGTGGTACTTCATCCACCCGTCGGCCTTGATGACCTGGTCATGGAGGATGAACACATGGCGTCCCTCGGCGATGAGAGCTTCAATCTCATCGCGAGCGAGGACTGGAGGGTTGCGCTTCGGTGCATCTGGGGCTGGCGGCGGGAAGCCCGTGATGCGTCGTGCAATTGGATCCGCCATGAGCGTGATTACGGCTTTATGGTTAAAAAAAAAATTGATGGAGTAATCTGAGGTAAGTTGGCCCGCACCACCATTGGGATGAGGAGGAGATGCAATGGCTATTTCCTTTGTGGTTATTCTAAATATAGCAACATCGTCCGTTTTCACGCACCATCAGACGATTCGGATGGTGCGGCGATTTGCAGGGTTCGCAACTTGCGGTCAGACGGGCAGGTTACGACAACGGAATCCTCAAGATCCACCCGGTTCCGCTCAATCGGCTCGGTACCCGCAAGCACTGTTAACAGGATGGCCGAAGGGGCCGGTTTATTGTGGGAAGTGGCTGGATGATTTAGGCAACGGTATAACTTAGGCACCGAGACTGAGAATGTGTCTGCCTGGCCTAGCATGACTTGATTGGGGAGTTTGACTTCTCACAACGTCATGGGTTCTTCCGAGAAAGCTCTCCTTTCTCTGTCTCCCACATGGACACAAACAGGGGTTGAATTATGAAATAGCAGTGTAGGTTGAGACAATATTGGCTCCTTCATGTAAGTCGAGGGAGGGCACCCCGCATGAAGATCGTTGTCTTTTTTACTGGCTCTAGACGGCTATCTATCTTCTAGACTTGTATCAGTTGACACATAAGTCGCGCTGTCCTGGCAGCTGCACCGCGTTTCCCGAGATGCCTCCTGAATTATTGAACGGATTGCGAAGACGGTGCTGGCGAACAACACCTCTCATTCATCGTTTGCTGCTCAGGGCAGAAAATTGATAATCCAAAAATCATTGTGGAAGTATTCTCGTGGAGTGCATGGGTGGTGTTGGAGAGGTAAACTTCATAGGGTGAAGAACGGCAAAAGACAGCCAAAGCTGAATACTTGGGTCTTCATGGTGAGATAGTCTCATAGGTGAATCAGAGCTGGAAAAAGAGTGTCCAATAAATGACTAGTAACAAATTTGATACTTCTTCCCCGATTTATTCGGCCGCAAACAGATGATATAGTAGTAACTTGGGTTGAATTAATAAAATTCCCCTGTATCGTAATGGCCATGTGTGTAAGTATGAACTCAATATACGGTCAGCTTTGGGATTGCGTAGCCGATATCTTTAGCCCTACTTCATTCATCCGGGTCGTGCTTGATACCAAGTCATCCCTCGGTGACAATACCATCTGTTATCATCATTCTTCTGAACATTTATCAGATTTGCTCCAGATGCCAGCTATTCCTCAGAGCTTAGAACGGCGTCCATTGAGCTCGCTAGGGCTGAATGTATCAAGCGCTGCCATTTGATCGAAGCTCATGTCCAGAATTTCCAGAACATTCCCCCAAGGGTCCTTGCAGTACAGACAAATGGATCGACTCAACGTGTTCCGAATGGTCTTGCCGATCCTCTTCCCGCCATGCTTAACAACCTTTTCCACGAGTGCGTCTGGGTTAGAGTCCGTCACGCAGAGGTGGAAGAATCCGCCTCTATTATATTCGAATGTCTTGGCGGGCTCGAATTTGGGATCTACAAATTCGAAGACCTCAAAGCCAACTCCATTTCCGGTAGCCATCCATGCGATCTTACACTCATTGAGAGAGTCACCATAGATGTCAAAGATGGATGCGTCGGGAGTTTCGGATCGTTTAATGTGCTTGATCATTCCGCCGTGGACGTGGAAGCCCATGACTTCAGTGTACCATTTCGTTACGGCATTGATGTCCGCCACAGACACTGCAATGTGGTTGATTGCTCTGGCGTTTCGCTGAAAATTGTCAATCGCTGCTGTTTCGGCGGGAGTAGAAGGGGGCTTTTGGTCTACCTCAGTCATGATTGCATCTACGCTCTTCGGTCGATGGAGGTTCTAGAGCACCTTATTCGTACCGGTGGGCGTGGCTGTCATGAAATAGACTTCATGTCGACCTCACAGGTAACAACACAGATAAGCTAATATACTCGAACTTGCCTTGCTAGGCATGTGGCGGCGATTTTGCCCAGTAGAAGCCAAAACTGGATAGACCACCAGCGCCGAATTCAGCAGTCACATGCAGCTAGTAGAGACATGCGTCAGCTTTGTGCAATTTGGAGGGGAACACCGTCCAAAGAGCCCATTTCTCTACGTCTGGGTGGATTTGGTGTGGTGATCCCGGAATATATTTCCGATGAGCCAACGGGGACTATTCCCGACGGCGTCTCCTTTTGAATGTATAAATGCCCATCGGAGATGACGAAGACAAATATTGGCAGGCAACTCCTAATCAAAAGGAAAGTAAAATGACACAGACAAACCAAGGTCCAATCGGCCTGGGCAGTTCTTGGACATGTGAGAGCGGAGCCGACCTCCAGGTTCCCCGCAGTCTGCAGTTGCGGAACCGATCCTCCCCAGATTCATGGAGTGCATAGTATAAATGGGGATGATCAGGCAATTATCTGGAGGCGGTTGGTTAGAGCTACTTGATTGAATATATCTTCCCTATCTTGACCCAATAACACCATATCCAACCATGAGAGCGGCCAGGTACTACGGCAAGGAGGATATTCGCGTTGAGCAGGTGTCTGAGCCCAGTGTCCAACCCGGTCAGATTAAGGTATTTGAAGTCTAGCCAAGTTATCACCGGCGAATGCTGACCGCCTGGGTGAAGATAGCCCCATCTTTCGTCGGAATTTGCGGGACAGATCTGCACGAGTACCTCGGCGGTCCTAACTTCTGCCCGGTTAAAGCACATGGAGTCACAGGCGAGACCATCCCCATCACGCTTGGCCATGAGTTTTCTGGAGTGGTCAAGGAGATTGGCGAGGGAGTAGAGGGCTTCACCGTCGGGCAGCCGTGCGCTATACAGCCGACCATCTTCTGTGGAAAGTGCCCTGCTTGTAACGTCGGTGCACGAAATATCTGCCACAATGGTGGCTTTATTGGCTTGAGCGGCGGCGGCGGGGGTTTGAGCGAAGCGGTTTGTGTGAATGCCACTCATGTTTTCCCTTTACCGCATGGTGTTTCACTAGACACCGGCGCTCTCGTGGAGCCTCTCGCCGTAGCCTGGCATGCGGTTTCAGCAGCACCTGAAATAACGCAGGACTCTACTGTTTTGGTGATTGGTGGTGGACCAATCGGCTTGGCCGCCATTCTTTGTCTTAGAGGCAAGGGGGTCAAGAGCATCATCGTCTCAGAGGTGGCAGCCGCCCGCCAGCGTTTCGCTAAGGAATTTGGAGCCTCCAGCGTCATCAATCCCGTGAAAGAAGATGTCAACAAAGTGGTCTTGGAGTTGACGGGTGGAAAGGGTGTCGACGTAGCCTTTGACTGCGCTGGAGTCCCTGCTAGGTGAGGTTTCGAATCTCGGGCCACAAAGACAAAGCAAACTAACATTGTTCCAGCGTGAAAAGTGCATGCGAGAACGTGAGGACCAAGGGGACAGTCGTGAATGTAGCGATCTGGGAAAAGGAAGTTCCATTCAACCCCAATTGGATCACCTGGAAAGAGAGTTCATACAAGTCTGTGCTTGGTTATGGGCCAGAAGACTTTAAAGCAGTTATTGAAAACCTTGGAACCGGTGAGTGACACTAAATCTGGTCAAGGCCTCCTCCCTGACTAACTGGTGTGGTTAGGGTCTATTGTGCCGCAAAAGATGATAACAGCCAAGATCGAACTCGATAATTTAGTTCGGGATGGCATTGGTGCTTTGATTTCAGACAAAGATAACCATGTAAAAATACTGGTGGACATGGAAGCCAGCAGGGCTGCCCAGTATAAGCCTGCCTTGTAGAAAGTGTTATATTACATGAATGGCACTGGTAAACGCTCAATTTGTGTATGATTTTAGCCGAGGGGACAATGTATCATTTATCGAGTTGCGTTTCATCTCCATATGAAACGATTCCACCCCAAATGTGCCATGAACAGCCAATGGTTTCCAGTATGAGTGGGAAAAATGTTTACTTGTCCTTGTTCATCCTTGTTCATCAACATACCTCAACGGTGAACAACAATGATGGAGGCAGTTTTGACTGAACAGTGGAGCCTGGCTGGATTTTGCCCGCCAGCTCTTCATGCGGCGTTGATCATATTTGCCTGATCATATGATATCGATGAGCTGTTTAAACTAGAGCTTTAATTTATCTCTTCTTGAGAAACTAAAACATTTTTTAAATAATAACCTGTGGAGTTTTTTCTTAATTGTAGTTTTGTTTGACCAACTGCTGGGTGGTCACGTGTGAGTCCACTCGCCTGGGGTAAAATTTAAGCTACGCTGAAGTTTTGATTGCTCAATTCATCTCACTTACAACTTGACATTATATGATTTAGGGTCAGCATTCAACAACTGTCGGTATTTCAAGGCTCCTGCAGCCTGGGAATACCTCATATAAGCGAATATTAGCATGCCGTGATCCTCATTCATACACGCGGTCACGGATATCTACGGTAAAGCCGGCAAAGCTCCAATCTCCATCGAATTGACGTCAAAAAGGGACTTCACGTGGAGAAAGTACCATCTGATGCATCTAAAGATTGGTTATCGAGAGTAATGGACGTGGAAAACCCCTCGGCTATCCGTGAGAAGGGAAGTCGAACGAGGACTCGCAAGGTGCGAACAGGGTGCATCACATGCAAGAAGCGTCATGTTAAATGCGACGAAGCGAAACCGTCATGTTCCAACTGCCTCAAGAGTCGAGGCCAGTGTGAAGGATACGCGATTGAGCCACGGAAACATCCAAGCATACACCGAGCCATCCATGCACGCCCTGACCAGAATTCTCAACCTGATACCGATTGGCCATTGACCTCGATGATACTGGATCCTGTGCATCATGACTTCCCCGACCCTCTGAGCCTATTCTATTTTCGAGAATTTATCTCTTTGTTGCAGGATCCCTGGATGACCGGGCTATCAAACAGCCAAGGCTGCTTGTGGCGAGAGACTCTGCCCCAAGTCTGCCGCACCAACCACACTCTGAGAAACGCTGCCATGGCCGTGGGTGCGATGGGCATATTTCGAAAAGAAACGAACCTTCGTGAAATAGATATATCAACACAGTCTCCTATAGCAGACCCCCGCTACCTACAGGCCCTGGCATATTATGGCAAGGCCCTGCAACTTCAAAACCAACGTGCATCATTTCAGTCTTCTGCTTTCTTGTCACTTATTCTGCTCATCTTTGAATCCCTGCGCCTCAGGAAAACCGCCGCTTTAGACCACACCAATCATGGCATGGCATTACTGCTCTCCTTTCTTGGCGATCGCACTACATCGAGTGATGAGATTGCCAATTTCTCTCCGAACCCTCGACCTATCTTGGGCCAGTTGGCCGACATCTTTATGCAATTGGCAACACAGACTCGAATTGTCTTGAAAGGCAGAATCGGGCAGCATTGCCCGCTTCCAGACCTTGCGAAAGGCTTGCGGGAGCGAGGGATCTCGATGGAAGACTTCATCGTACTACTCAGCGAGGTTTCCACGAGCAGCCACTGCATCATTCCTCAAAGATTCGGTTCCTTAGATGAATTTGAGGAGCATTGGATCTCAATGACCCGAAGACAAGCTGAGATGGGCCCCATCATGTTGCAAGCAATGACGAGGTCGACAATTCTGGAATGTGAACACCAGCAGCAAATCAGTGACCTTTTTGCATCGACACTAAAGGATCCAGAGGTTCAGAAATTTTGCGACGATGCCCGACGGGACATGGACTTAATGGAACAGGCGTTTCTCCCTCTGTTTTCAGACATCATGATGTCGACGACAATGGACTCGCCAACGTACCTAAGAGCTCTCTATCTCCGCCTACGCTTTCTTTCCGTCCAAGTCTTCAGCAACCCGCCACAATATGCTTGCATTCAGTCAATGGTGGCATTAACGCCCCGACTCCGCGAGTTCCTCTCTTTAGCTGAACTTGCAATCCGGATCACACGGAAGACTACAGTCTGTCGGGTATATTCCCTCTGCATAGACGGCGGACTTGCGTGGTACTTGCTCCAGATCGCCCTTCACTGCCGCGATCCATTGTTACGTGACGAGGCTATATTGGCTCTGGATGGCTACGCTGGCCAGGATGGGCTATGGACTACGCGGTCGCTGCATGCCCTGGCGCTCAGAAACCGCATCGTCGAGCAGCAAAATGCGAATGGGGACACGGCACAAGTACAGTGGCAGAGGCTCTGGCGGCGCGAGTACTACCTAGAAGATGGAGGCGAACGTGTGGTTTTCCGCTTTCTCGAGAAGGAACCGGAATTGGATCAGTGGATTCTTGTAGAAGAGGTGGGCGAGTTTCAAGACAAGGGAGACTGTGCGAAGTGGACGCGGCAGCCGAACCCCCAGTCGGGCAGATTACTTGTTCAGGAAGGGTTTCCTGCAGCACAAAAGGACCAAACCGGACGGACTCCCCAGTCAGAATGTGTGAGATTTATGAGCTAATGGACGGCAATCACTTCTGACTTCTGTGTACCGAAACTTTACTGTGTAACATTCTCTCTGAGTAATATCCCGGCGTCAGCTTACGCCCACCTGCGGCTAGTTGGTGAAACCAACCCAGATATCATCCTCTGACATGACGGCGAGGTCATCCCTGCGGAGCATGACGATCACCTCAACACCAGACTCCTCTTTACGATCGCACTGTGTCCATTGCGCCCTAGGCATAATCATCCCGACACCGTCAGCCTCCATATAAGGGGGCCTAATATGCTTAGGTCTTCCAAGGGTCTCCCCAAAATCAAGGTTATATATATCGAGACCATTCCAGCTCGTGACGGTAAGGTCCCGGGATGAGAATAGATCCCACCCGGGGAAAATGGATTTGAGATCCTCTGTACGGTTGACAAGACTGCATAACTCGGCGACCGAATCAGAGTTGATCCGATCAGCAGATTGGGAATCAGATATGATGCTGCAGACTTTGGCCAGGCAAGGAGGTAGTGTTTCATGCACAAGGTCAACCACTTGCAGTTCGCCGGTGGATAACGCGGCCATGGCATACTGTACCACGTTCCCAAAATAGGGTACACTCCCTGCCTGCGAACCCAGTCCTACTCGCTGCCGGCAATTCACTGCTGATACTAGCTGGGTTGTACTACTAGCGAGGGCAGGAGTTCTCTTCGCACGGGCCCGGGTGATTGCAATCCAGAGCATTGCCGTGACAATGTTGGTAGTGGTTGGCGTAACTGCCATTGAGCCACTGACACTCTGCTTCAACTTTTCGATCTTGTCCATCGAAATCCTGAATAGCTTGGAGGTGCAAGATGGGAATTCACTAGGCATGGCTGGGGGGCTCCTTGAAAACTCTGGATGCGAGTCCCAAAGATGCTCAACAGTATGGGCCGAGGCCACATCAAAGCTACCACCCAATGCTTTGGTGAGCTGATTGACTCTGTCTACCCCAGAGGGCTGAGCACTAGGCAATATCCCAGCGGCAGCGAGCGACCAAAGGCGAATAACCTCGGCAAGACCAGATGCATCAAAGACATGATGATGCGCGCAGATGCAGAGTCCGAGGCCTTCCTCATCCGCAAAGCGAAATACACTCGCCGCGAAGACCGGCGTCCCCTCCATGGCTGAACCTTGCAGTGCCTGCGAGTCCAACGGCCACATCTCAGCGGGTATACTTTGTGGCGGCATGCCTTGGGAATCAAGGGCTTCGTAAGTTGATCTCACAGAGCCTTTGTTTGCTACGACAGGAGGCGTGCTCTTGGCGTTCCACTGAATCTGCAATGTTTCTTTCCCCGAGCCCGTGACGGTGGGAACAACCTGGCCAAGTAGCCATGGGAGCTGAGCAGCGACGGTGTTTAGACCTCGTTGGAGTGTCGATTGAATAAAAGACGTCGGCTCAGTCGTCTGGAAAGTAAGGAATACTTGGATATAAGTGTTGGGCATGAGTAGATCCAGCGGCGTCAGTTGCTCTGCATTCATGGTTTCGGTCATATTGAAATAGCCAGGCGAGGTTGAGAAGACGTAAATGTGAAAAATGCTTTTCAAACTTGGAATTAGGAGAACGGATTGTGTGTCTAATAAATATACCACCAACATCAAGCTTCGGTGAAAATGATGCTGCCTTCGTAAAACAACTCGGACTGGTAGCCAATCATAACACTCAATTCCCGAGGCCCCGCCAATGGAGTTCACAGGCAGGACACCCGAAGCAGGAAGAAACGAAAAGAAGGAAGAAAAACCTCATAAGTAGTCTATCGAATGCATTTCAAATCTTTTACTGGTATTTCTGTGCTTGCCTTGGTCAGAATAAAAAAGATGAGGTGACTTTTCCCTCCAGCCAATTAGCAAGAATTTCAAACCTGTTGGCAGCTCTGGGGACCACTAGTGACATCGGGGTCGTACTAGTTTGCTTTTTTGGCACTCTGATTAAAATGGAGACATTTTTATAGCTCTATTTACTATAAATGCAGCTTAATACTTTGCTGTGCTGTGAAAAGGGACGAGGGCAGGGCGCCAGACACAAGAAGATTAGGGCGCTCTCGTTCGCATAGCGTCTTGGTATATGAGCCCTCTGTTGTGCATGACCTGGCGAGAACGGTTCTGTCCTTTGAAAGCTTCATTGAACCTCGAATTCCTCACATGAGCTCTCCGAGCATGCCGAGGGAAGAATACCTCCGTGACCCATAAATCTCCTGCATCTGGAATTTCGTGCTTTTGAGTACTGTCTATTTTAAGGATCACGCCAAACTGTCCCACCCCTGGCCATCTGTCGAGCACTGCCTGGTCTATTTCGTTTGGAGTCCTTAGTTCTCCAATGTCCCTTCTGTTGCTGACAGGTGGAATCCTTCTTCCCCGCAAGCATCGTAGATCGGGACTACTGAGGTGTAAGCTGGAGCTATGGTAACCCCAAGAGCCGGGATGAGTCAACCGAGCGGCTAATATTAATTTCTTGAGGAAGTATCCACGTACACCCAGCCAATCGGCTGAGTTTGCATGGCAATAGGCGAGATGACGCGCGGTGAGCAAACCTGAACATGGCAATAATAGAGACAGCAGTGGCGGCCTCTTTATTAGTCTTGCGTCGAGAATAGCTCCGGAACTTACGGAACAGCCGGAGTCAATTAGTGGGAAAGGAGCCATGCGTGTCTCGTGAGTTGTATCCCAATCAAGACAGGTGACGGATGCTCTCGCTAGCCATAGTGTAAGCTTTGCAAGTTCGTGGATGGTACAATGTATTGAGAGTCTAATAATTCTACGTGATAGCACTGCCCTACCTCTGAGTACCTTACATTCTACTGGGAGCGCGATCCGAACCATAGTGCTGGGTTTGTTTCCCACCATTCCATTCACTGCTGAGGAGGAGAGAAAAGTTGATCAATTTGCATCAAATACCGACTAATCCGGTGATACACCAACGACATCTTACCAGAATAGTTATGCGCTAAGCGGTGTGTAGCACTAGCTCTTCTCGCCTGCTTGAACCCATATCTCGGTGTTGCCCCGATATGGAAAAGACGATTATACCACACAGTATGGCGGAATGTACTCCCACCGGACGGTCATCACCAGGAGATGAATCTTACATCGGTTAAGAGAATTGAATTCGATGATTGAGGCCCCACATGTCTTACGAGTGCTTGGTACCTGAACCAGGAGTATTGTCATCTTCGGCCGCAGACTATGTTTGGAGGTCACGCCTAAAAGTTGCTCGCTTGTCAGCCGGAGAGAAAATCTATATAAACAACAGCCTCCTCCTGACAGCTCTCATCGTTTTCATTAGAGACACTACAAGTCACAAACACAGGAGAAGCACTAAAGCCTGATACTCGAATATCTTTTTCCACCCTTACCTTTCCTTGATTCATTCTCTGCGCTGTGCGCGAATTTTCTTTCCTATATCCATTATTTGAAGTTTCTCCATCATGGTCGGCATAAAGAAACTTGGTATCATTGCTGCCTTTTTGGCCAGCAGCCAAGTTCTAGCCAACCCCGCTGAATCTTCCGAGGACCTTGACACCAGGGACTTCAACGATGAAGCTGTCGAATATCTAGCTGTTAGGAGATATGATCCATCAAACCCGGGCCCTGTGCCTCCAAGACCTGGACCTCCTCGTCCTCCCCGCCCTGATGAGAGAAGGGGAAGAGGCAGAAGAGATCTATCTGAACGCCGATACGACCCATCAAACCCAGGCCCTGTGCCCCCAAGGCCCGGTCCCCCTCGCCCTCCCCGCCCTGATGAGAGGAGAGGCAGAGGTAGAAGGGATCTATCTGCGCGCAGATATGATCCATCAAACCCGGGCCCTGTGCCTCCAAGACCTGGACCTCCTCGTCCTCCCCGCCCTGATGAGAGGAGAGGCAGAGGGAGACGAGATCTATCTGCGCGCAGATATGATCCATCGAACCCGGGCCCTGTTCCACCAAAACCTGGACCTCCTCGACCTCCCCGCCCTGATGAGAGGAGAGGCAGAGGGAGACGGGATCTGTCTGAACGCCGATACGATCCATCGAACCCAGGCCCCGTGCCCCCAAGGCCTGGTCCCCCTCGCCCCCCTCGTCCTGACGAGAGAAGGGGACGAGGTAGAAGAAGCGTTTAAAAGCTGGACGAACGCAGACCCTTTCATGCTTCTTGTGTGACAGATGGCTATGATGGGGCTGATGATGGGGTTCGTCGACTCGACTGTGTTTTTCAGATATAGCACCTACCCAAGGACTATGTTCCTCTGGAATCATGTCGAACCGATCAACAGTGTATAGTGTGGTTTTTCGAGTTGTTATACAAACATGTAGTGTATTATAATTACTTTTGTTGGGCTTCTTACTTTTTACCAGTTTCTTTTTTCTAAACTCAAGGTGAAATTGTGTCAGTCAAATAGGTTCAACAACGCTAAGATTGCATTAAACTATTCCCCTCCCCCGTGAACTAAAATTGTGTAGACTTTTTTTACTCTGTCTCGACATTGAATGTATAGGATGAGCCCAACGGCATCAGTCAGTACTTACCAAATTCCTAAATGCTGCGCTCATAGTTCTCACTCAAGAGAGTTGCTTCATTTTTAGCAGTAACTGAGGCGGATCGGTTTCAGACCTTCTCGATATTTTTAGATTTTTGGTCGATACCATTCGTACATTTTAACATTGTCTCTCTTTCATATTGCTTTGATAGACTGGAACCTGGACATGTCGGTTGAATTGTTTGTCGTTTTCAATTTTTTGCTAGTGTGACAATAATTTGCCACATGAACGGGTACAATACGCTGCTATCTACCCTAGGCATGCATGTAACTCAACCCTGTTATCAATACAATATCGATATTGAAGAGTTCGGTTGAGTACCAAGTTATTCTGACAGCAGAATATCATAGAAGGGCCTGATCCCAAGGATACTTCGGCACTAGTGAGTGCTCTCATCGGTTGGTGCCAAAATCCAATTTACAGGTAAGGTCCCGAGAACCGCTGATCGACGCAGACAAACCCTGGACTCGCATTCTTGTCGGTTGGATCCCGGAGCCTGTAAAAAGATCCAATGCCTTGAAATGTCTAGAATGCAATATGTCTCTGGACTTATGTGCTCGCAAATCTGGCGGGTCCCTTGCAAGATATCGAGATACGGAAACTCCCCAAATCTGAGTTCATTTCGGCAGCAGTTCCGTGGATCAACGTGGGGCATCTAGCGTGCTCTCAAGCTATCTCCTTGAAGCCCCGTAAGCTACAGCGTGTAACTTACAAGGTATTGATTGGTAGAGAGACCTATGCTAAGATATACCTTAGATTCCACCTACTTAGTATAGAGCTAAAGGTATTATTGATCTGTAGCCTACTTATATAGACTTTACCACTAAGCAGAAACCCACTTAAAATTTAATATTTAAGCGTCTCTTCAGGTCACTGAGAGTAACGCCTGTATAGAATAAATAAGTGGAGAGAATACCTCGCTGTAGCTTACGGGGCTTCAAGGAGATGGAAAGAAGTCTAGTTCCTGGCGTATATGACTTTTGGCACAATCCTTGTCCGCCTTGGACGAGGATGACCCTGTTAGCAATATTTCTCTCTCTGCTCCCCTACCCCTCACCCCCCACCCGAAGGACAGACATTGAGCACAATCCGCCGCCGTGGAATGTGGTGGGGGAAATGGTCATACGTTCATCGATATATGCGAGAGGGCAGTCTGATTCACGAGCTGAAGGTTTAGCTCCTAATATTTGCCAGGGTTACTAGAGAGGGGCAGCATTAGTGTAAATCTTGGTGTATTTCCTCAGAGCTCCCTACCCGATCAATTTCAATGATGAAGCTCGTTTTGATGTTGGCTCCTTTATCAACCAATTCGTATCCCCTGTTCTCATCTATGAATTAGTCCCAGAGGCCCTACCGATATAGAAGTAGAAGGTCACATACCTGGCTGACAAGAACAATGATATGGAACAGTTTTTTTGCCTCAGGGCGAAGTGGTGGGTGGAATGTAGAAGCAGCAAAAGGGCACAGCAAACACATGGCACCGGGGCCTACTTTTGGAAACACCACCGAAGCATCCAAAAGGGGCGCAATAGCGTGTTTGGGGTAGCATCCGTGCCCTGGTCATGCGGTCCGCAACTCCTTTGATTCAGGGCCAGGCCAGGCTCCTCACGCGTGAGTGGGGATCCGGGTAACGGCCGGCCATGTACTAGCTGCTGGCATTTCTGCAAGGCCAAAGGTTTGGAATGGCTCTCATGCAGAGTTCTCGTATCACTGTTGGGTCGGCCGTCCCGTGGCTGATATCATTGGCAGGGACTGGGATTGTTCCCTGTAGACCATGCATGTATGGCTGAAGACGGCCTGCAGCGTGCCTGAAAGGATTCCACGGCTGAATGAGATAATGGGTCAGCAATATTATTCGATCGAAAGCTGTCTGTGCCCCTCTCTCCACGTAATACCTTACAGATGCAAGTATCACGAGCCAGCCCCCTGCAGAGAGGGAGAACCGGTCCCACAGCGTCAGCCACTGACTATTGGCGCATCGATTCCTCGTCTTCCTGGGTCCCTGGTTTGTGTTTCGGTTCCGCGCTCCTTGTCGATTGAATCGTGCAGATATTCTATACTTGGTGAACCCAATTGTAGACAGTAGTGATGGCAAAAGCTGACAGTTCCTTTGAATGCTACCTAATGCTGGGGTTAGAACCAAGCACCCTGGCCTCTAGGCCGTAGAACCCCGAGCCACATGGTCTGGAGCTTCTTGATTTGGAACATAATGAATCGTTGGCCTCTAGATAGCTAAAAAGTCTCTCATCCGCAGCCAACAGTCCTCAACCTGCAGCCAACAGACCTTGACCTGCAGCACAGGGCCTGATACAGGCAGCTAGCAGTGTTTTGCCAGCTTGGGATGGGGTATTAAAGGGAAATGGGAGGACACGGCGGATGCTCAGATGTGGTCCATCATTCCGACTACACTCTTCCCGCCATTCGTAGATGGTCAATTAGCCCATCATGAACTCCAAAGGATTGGCTGCCATTGAACTGATCTCCCAATTCCTGTGGGTCCCTGTTGCTATATACTTCTCATTATCTAGAGGTAATGGGATTTTACTAGCAATTGGCGTTCCATTGGTCATACAGTCGCTTTTCAGCTACGCCATTGCCATACGACGATGGCACTCTGTCAACAATCTCATCTCTCAATCCAAAGACGAGACGCATTTGCCACCACGGTATCCCTCCCTGGTTCCGTATGTGGGAAGTGCTTTGTCATTTGTATGGGATAATGCGGGCTTTTTGCGCCAAGCGACGTAAGCAATCCTGCCGCAGTACAGTAATGTGGTCGGTCTTGGGGTTACTAACGGCATATCCTGAAGGCGCTATGGAGGTAGATTGATTTCGTCGAGGATCTCCTTCCTGGGGTTTGAGATATTTGCATTTCAGGATAGGCAGACTGTTGCCAAGGTCTGGAAGCAAACCAGCCTTTCGAGCCCCATTTCGATTTTCGTGTACGCGATGAAGTATTTTTTCGAAATCCCTGAAAATGTCTTGTCTGTGTACCGTGCAGACACCTCTGGACCCTTCCCAAAACCACACAGGGACACCAACATCCCTCCTCAGGCTCGTGTCGATCATATCACGCACTATGGGTTCCTCCAGGCCTTGAGTGGACCTGGGTGGCTACCGACAACGAAACGCTGCATGAACGCACTGGCTTCGAGGCTGGAGGAGAAGGGATTCTCGGAGGAATGGACTGAGTTTGAAGACATGTCAGAATTCTTCAAAGAATGGGTCGGCGCATCACTAATCGAGAGTCTCTTTGGCCCTTCAATGCTACGAATAAACCCGACTTTCGTCAAGAATATCTGGGTTTTCGATGAAGGCATACCATGGCTGGCGAGAGGAGTTCCATCGTTTTTGAAACCGTCGATCTATAAGGCTCGAAGAGCTGCCATCGCGCAAATCAGGAACTGGTATTTATACGCCAGAGAGCACTTCGATGAGAGCTACGTTTCTGCTGACGGGGATGGCGACCCCTTTTGGGGCTCATGGCTTATGAGATACCGCCAGAAGAACTTGCTACCAGCCGAGAAGCACAACGACGAGGTTCTCTCAAAATTGGATCTAGGTCTAGCTTGGGGGTAAGTCTTCCTACCTATCGATTTTAATCTGTTAGAAGTATGCTTACTTACCATTTCTTCTTGTGTTTTCCTCAGTGTTGTTGGTAATACGACGCCTACTTCTACGCTTTTCGCTTTCCACATCTTCAAAGATCCTACTTTACTAAGCCGCGTTCGAGACGAGATACAAACCTCTTTCGGCGACCGGGATCTGCTAGACATAAATCCTAGCGAACTCATCAAGCAACCCCTTTTATCATCTGCATATGCCGAGATACTCCGGCTCTTCATCGATGTATTTTTCATGGTCACTTCGGCCCATAAGGATGTGTCGCTGGGCTCCTATCACCTCCCGAAGGGCCGCATTGCCCTAATAAACTCTGGGATCTCACACAAGGACAACAGCTTTTGGAACACTCGCAATGGGGAACACCCTGTCACTTCGTTTTGGGCCGACCGATTTTTAATTGATCCTTCAGACCCTCTGAGTGGACCGATAGCGCCTGGGGTTTATAAGCCTCCAAGCAGAGAAGAGTCAGGCCCAGACGACGGCGGCAAAGCCCCTTATTTTAGCCTGAAAGGCACCGAAGGTTCCTGGTTTCCCTATGGAGGTAAGATACCCCAACTACAGAAAGAAAACCAGGCATTGAACTAATTATTTACCGTGTAGGTGGTCATTCTATATGTCCTGGTCGAGTTCTGGCTAAAAGTGCCGTACTCTTTGTCTCTGTCCTGCTGGCAAGAGATTATGATATTGAGCCCCTCGTGGAGAGAATTGAAACGACTAATTGGAGGTGTGGCCTGGGCGCAGAGCAAATCAAGCATGCTATTCCATTTCGTATTAGAAAAAGAAGAAGATAGAGAGATCAGGGCGGTCTTCTATAAAGACATGATTATCCCCCCGATCTCAACTTTTATACATGAATCACGATTTTAATTTGACTTTTGGTCTAAAGAGCAGCAAGAACGGAATGGTTTCCGCACTCCTGTCTCGAAGGTTAAATTGTTGAAGGCTAAGGGTAAGGTAAATTCTAGCATATTGACATGGGAGGGTATAATATATGCCGCGAAGCCCTTGAAATCAAAGATGGGGAATTGCAGTCGGATCTGGAGCTTGGCAGCCAAGTCGTACTGCTATGAGCTATTCAAGCTTCTGATTATCATACGGTATCGATATGAATAGCTTTGGCCCAAAGCTTGGAGGGGTACCGAAGTTAAGTAGGCATGTTTTCGGTGTGGGCCAACTGGGTAATATCCATAACACAAGATATGTACCGGTGGTGCCATTCCACGGCAGGTTCCGGCGAATGGTTTTAAATGTATAATGCCTGACAAGCATGCTGATTATTATTATTCCCACGCCAAAACCGGTCCCTCGGACGGTCGGAACTAGCCAAAGTGATCACCCCAGCTCGGCAATTCCCAGATTGAATCTGAGAGCTTATTCCAGGATTTGTTAAACCCAGGGTTTTTGGATTTGACGAGTAAAGGAATCTGTGATCTGAAGATAACGCGTCAGCATAACACGACTTCCATGGAAACATCAGCTAAGGTTTCGAATGATACGATTCGATTATATATATGACTTGGTGACAAGACGGTGAAAGTCCGAGAGTGCGGAGGATGCGGTTCATTGCGCTCTTTTTCCAGTGGATAAACGGTGTGTGTTCCTTCAACACGTGGTTGAGTCCCCCCTGATTTGCTAAGGTACGACGACTGGGTATGATGAAGTAATCCAATCAATACCTCATATGCATACGGATATATCCCCTAGCTGTTTCGACAAATGTCGAGAACTATAAATTGGAAACAAACCCCCAACTGAAAACGATCTTTCACCTCGCACCACCATCAGTAAGCTTTCTAGAGCTTGGTCCACTGCTTATTCACCTCATTTCAAACTCGTCTTCTCATCTTCAACATGCTGTTCAAGACACACATTTTGCAAGGCTTAGTCGCTGCCGCCGCTTTTGTTAGCGGCAGCAATGGCCAACCTTCTGCGCCGAATGACGCTGCTGAACAACCTCAACACGTGAAACGCACCACGTTCAGAGACGATTTCACAACCTTCGACAGCACCATTTGGAGCTGCGAGTACAGCTGCCCCGTGATCGAAGGTGAAAAGGCCCGATTTAGGCTGTACTCCAACACTGCAGCCAACCAGGAACACTCCTGGTGCAAGGCCCGTTACAAGCCTAAGCGCTTCACTTCGGGCACATTCACCACCTACTACTCTCTCACTGCGCGTCCCAAACAGCCTGTTTGGTGGGGTGTAGCGCTGTACGATGACACCTATGGAGAAGAGGAGGGTCAGATCAACGAAATCAACTTCGGCTACACCACCAAGTACTCATACAACAACTATACTTTCTTGTTTGAAGTTTACAAGCGAGGAGTCACTGAGCCATGGAGCAGGGACATCACTGTCGATTTTGATTTGTACAGTGAGGAGTACCACGAGGCTACTATCGAGTATGATGCCAGCCACGTCGCACTCTACATCGACGGGGTGAAGAAGACGGAGCTTACCGACAGTAGCCTCATCCCCACTGATGCTATGGATTTCCTGCTCGGTCCCCGCCTGGTCGATGACACTCTGGGCACTCTTCCCTCAGGCTTTACCCAATCTCATGACTGGGTGACCATCGAGTACTAGATAAAGCTAGACCCAGAGAGTGATGGAGCCTTGTTAGTGACTTAGTTAGGCAGGCTATGCTCGTTCGTAGAGCATTGTCTATTGAGCATAACGCAATAACCGAGTTCATGAGTATAAATCAGTTTTGTCCGATTCCTACCTTGTCTCGCCGTGATTTCCAGAAATACTCAAATTACCCCAATGCTATCCATTATATAACATGACTGCTCAAAAATCAAACAGACTCACTGCATCCGCTTCTATTATTTATTCAACAAGGCAAAATCGCTCTTGGTGCCAACAGATTTGAGGGAATACAATCAACTTCAGCTTGAGCTCTCCATAAGACTGGGAGCCATCATTATTGATTGTATTGACTCCTATCCTGGTTCTAGAAAATCGTATTAGTACATGACCCACGGGAAGTGATTGCGTAGTGGATTCGGCAATGTTTCTGCAGAGCTCAATAATATATGGGAGGATTAACGAAGAGGAATCTCGGGCTGGATGAATGACGAATAATTTGGTTAATTACAGTCAAGTTCGGTAGGATTCATGTAACAGGGATAAAAATGTGGCACAGCGTCCTCTGGCAGGACAGGTTCCAGAATCAGGATGATGCTCCCCCTTTGTCCATTTTATGTGAGCTACCACATACATTCGATCCAATGATGATGGGTAGTGAACCTTGTAGTTCAGGTAGCGAACTATTTTGAACCAACTTGACTGAACGACGGATGCATCTACCCCAGACATTTGGAGGTTACCCCCAGTCAACGCCTGCATCTCTTCCAATCCTTAGCGTTTCGATTCTCAATAAAATAGAAATACCACACGTGTGCCAATTCTATAAATAGAAGGATCGTGATTTATTGGACAGGGGCGATATTGTCTCCTTCAGGGTTCGCCCTAACCATCGCGACCCAGCTTGGCTGAATAGCTTCCTAGCTTCCTATGGTAACAATTGGCTTCGGATTTGATCGGTCTCATGGACCACTGAGATTGACGAACCTCTATAACACAGGAAGTAGTGGGGAGGAGCTGGGCCAAGCCGTAGGGTTCTATCACCCGCGAATATTTTCACACTACCGTGGCCGCCAATAACGATGGATGCAGCGCCCATGTCAAGATGATGGGGGTGTCGTTGTGATTTTCGCTATTGAGGACACCAGCACTGATTTCACTCAACCGATTACGTAATCGTATCCGGGGATGACTATCAAACTACTGTCAAGAACTCGTCATTCAGTAGGTCAATAATTGGAGGTAGTAACGGGCTCTCCGAGGCAAAGAACGGAAAATTGTTACCAGGTAGAAAAACGTAAAAAGTAAACAATTACGATTTCGATTTATTAGCGTTGTGGACCTACAGAGAAACTCATTAAACAGGCTTTGTAGTTTTCGGCATATGTTGAATCGACGGTGCGTTTACGGGAAGTTTGTATTGGCGAATGATGCCGAGACGTACATCGCTAGTGAGCTGGCGCAATTCTACTTCACGTAGATGAAATATTTTCTTACATGTTGCTACGAGTTTAGAAAACGGGCCATACTAGGATGGAGCATTTGGGAATGTGAGTGACTGTAACCCGTGCCGGTGAAGCGTGAACTCCAATGCTTTTTCTTTGTGACCATACAATGTCCAATAGCTTACACAATCATAATTGACTGTTAGCTAAATTACGCGGCTAATCTAGTATTAAGTACTTGTAGAATTGATAGTAGCTGGCTAAATGACATTGTAGGTTGCCTAAAGTCTAGAATTAGCTTGCTTGCTTCCAACAGAAATCATCGACTATTACACTTCATTTGGCCTTGAGAAAATACGATATTTGTCACTCCCGAAGACAATAGCTCTAGCTACTTCGCGATCGCGAATATATACATTGTAAATGATGTGCACATAAGGCTGCCTGAATAATCGCTGTGTCAAGGTGGCTATGTCGCATGTGACCGCAACAAAACAAACAACTGTCTGGGTTGACCCAGCCTTTTTCCTTTCTTAACTTACACATGGCTGTGTGAACCAGGGACGATATATCCAAATTGTCATCAACAGCTCTCAACAAATAACCAGCGGTGACTGTTTCGTATTTCTGAACACGTGTGAATCTCAATGTGGAGTCCCATGGCCAGAAACATAGCAGTAGAACAAATTGAGTCACGCAAGCTCCCTGAGCGAACCATAGAGAAGCGGAATTTCCAATCGCATTCAATAAGAAGGTTAGAACTGAATGGTCTCAAATTAAGGCTCACGAGTAAGCTCCCAACCTCTCTTGTCCAAAGTGGAGATCATAGGCTTGAAGCTAGGAGAAGGATTCAAGCACCGCTTTGGACTGGTGCCTAGGATAGCGGTCTGAGGGTTTCACGTGATCTCATCCCTGGTTCAATCTCACGCTGTGGATCTCAATCTTCCAAACTTCAATCTCTCACGGTCTTAATTAAGCACCACCAAGGCGGTATTCATTGATCGATGGTAGTTCAGCTACACATATTCCAAAATGATTCATTTGAAATGGCAAAGAATCCAACGCCCGGCCGTTGAGTGGCTTAGCAGGAGCCCCCGTGTTGGCTCTTCAGCGCTCCGTGTGCATATGGCCGCCAGAACAACCACCTTACGCTCAGAAGGCCGTTCGTCCTTTCGCCACTTGCCACCTAGTTCTCAGCTACAACGTCGAACAATCACCTCCACTACCTCTCTTCGGAGTAATCAGAGTCCAAATGGCGAGGACGACGACCAAATAGAGAGGCTCATGCAGGTTGATCTAGCTCTTAGCCACGAGTTGAAGTCGACCGAGTTCAGCAAAGGCTTTCGGCGGGCCGCTGCAGACCGTGGAAATTGCCCCACTGGAGCTTGGGAAGACGTTGGCTATCCTGAGCACCCAGAGGCCTCCTCACGGCTCTGGATTGTCGATAGGATTCTGAGCCCACAGACCGTTCCTCATTTTCTAAGCTTCTTGGGTCACGGCCGGTTGCCTGGTGGGAAGTCGACAGCTATATCACTCCCTGCCGAAGAAGAGGTTATGCTTTTGCTGCAGCCATACTCTGATTGGGCCACAACGCCATACAACAACGTGACGGAAGCACCGATTGACAGCTGTATGAAGTTTATCGGCTCAGAAGAAGAAACCCGCCAGCTCGTTCCCATCACAAAGGAGCTTCATTCAATGAAATCAAGGATATGGGAAGGGCTCCCCCCACTGTCGAAAAGAAGATGGGAAGATCTCGATCTGGACAATCCCGATAATTTCAAGGCGGCTTGCAAGTACTTGGCAATGACCACGGACGCATTCAGTTATCTCAACATTCCTGTTATAAAATCCGCCATGAGAGATACGTACAATAGCATTTACAATGAATTGGAGACGTTTGAAAAAGCCATCAATGCTCGTCGATCAGTCTCCGGGGGACAACCTCTGAGAATGGCAGCGTTGTGGTATGAGTTTTTCAATGCCCATTGCTCGTTCATTGCTTCTCGTGCGCACGGCTGGGTGATTGAAAACACAGATCGACTCAGGGAAGATGTTTTACAGCGATTGGGGAATCTCACTCCTGGCTCTGATGAGGAGTGGTTCGGAGAGGCATCTCTAGAGCTGTCAGACTACATATATGATCTGACGCAAAATGCAGCCTCCGCAGACATAGAAATTTATATTCCCATGGACGGATACAGGGGCTCTGGCGTGGAATCTGCGGACGGCTGGGAGCCTGAAGATTCTGACAAGGCTCCCTACCGTGAGTACCCAATCGAGAGCCATCCATCGGTGCAAAAGCGAACTGCAGACTACCATGCTAGGTTGAAATATCTTACCCGTGTGGAGACGTGGAGGGGAAGGGAGTCGAGGAATCCTGCCTTTGGGCCAGGAGGCATGAATGCAACTGACAATATCAGCTTTGGTATCGGCATTGTCGGCCAGTCTCGGAGCCAAGGTCAGGCACAAAAGAGTACACGGTCCGAAATGCGCGGATCTATGAACCTACCAGATACGACTGGAAGGGAGATGTGGATTGACGAGCTCCGACAACACATTTCTAGCGGTCAACTGAGAACCAGCTTCCTCGGCTACCGGACCTGTTTTGACCATAGTGGCGACCAGTGGGAACTTTTCAAGGCGAAATTTGAGTCTGATATCAACGACTGGGGCCGAGATCTCGAGGGGATCGACGACATAAAGAGTTTATTCAAGGTGCAGTGGGTGGATGTCAGAGATGTAGCTCAGAAGCCCATTGATATTGATGGGGCTAAAAGGTGAGTTTGATATTCAATTCCTTGGACATGCGGAATTGCTAAGTGTTCATCATTATAGCCAATTTCGTGAGCTTATACAGAGTGGCGCAATCCCCAGCGGGTTCCATGATGGATTCTTCCTCGCAGCAGACAAGTCGTCTATCGACTCGTATCTGTGCCCCGGTGCCTCACAAAGCGGATTCATTGTCGCAGTAGACAACAATTTCGATCGCGAAGATACCAGCGGTTACAGGATGTACGAAACACCTGGCTATGATGGGCAAGTTAGAGTCCTGGGGAGCCTACTCTGGGATGATGTGAGCGCACAGATATCGCGCCAGTCACAATATCTAGAAGATATCTGGCCGCTCGCAATGCAGCACGATCTTCAGGTGTATGAAGGCCCTTGGATCAAAGAGAAGCTGAGGCCCGCTCAGTAGCTGAGCTATTCACTTGTATATTATGAAAAGATACTCTTATCAGCAGTGCCATGACTCCTCTACATACATGTATTATATACTCGACAACTACTTTCATAGATCCTTCAATGCTATCAATTGATCAAGGATAGGGGCATGCTCTTCGGCATCAACTCCATGAGCCTAGGTACAAAAGCGTAACCGTTCCCCCACTTGCCCATCAGCCGATTCTTACTCATTGTCGCGCACGTCAATGATTGTCGACTTGAACTTCCTGGCAGGAATCTTGCGGTTGAACAAGATATCGGTCTCACGGTACGTGCGGTGCTTGAGCTCAGGCAGGAAGAAGTATGCCATGATCCAGCACACGACAGCAGTGCCTCCCCAGACGTATCCACACTTTCCTGCCAGGTTCCATCCTGTTGGGTTGAGCAGCTGCGATGCGAGGTAGATCATGGGAATCTCGGCAACGTAGTAAGCGCCGCGTCCAACGCCAGTGCTCAGAGCACGGAGACGGACGGAAGAGGTCTCGGAGATGATGGTGTATGAAATTGGTCCAAGAGTACCAGCAAAGACGAATGAAATGACAATTCCAAGAATGGCCTGAGCATAGTTCGTCGCGTTGTTTTGCGGAATGGAGGCGACGATACCGAGGATCATGAGGAAAGTGACATTCGTGACTGTTCCCCAAAGGTAGATGGTTCGACGGCCAAACCAGGCAGTAAGAGGCCACGAAAGAGCATTGGCAATGAAACCGAGGCACGAGTTGATCAAGTTGAGTTCGAAGGCGCGGTCATTTCCGACACCGGCCTCTATTCCAGGAATCAGTCATCAGAGTCTCAAAAGCTTTTCGGTTGGTGAGGCACTTACGTTCAAAGAAAAAGGTGGCCTGGTTGGCAATCAGGTTGCCGGCAAAGTTCTGGGAGGCGTACATCAGGCAGGTGATGGTGGTTCGTCGCAGATCGGTGCCCTTGAAGAGATCCAGAAGGTTCGGGTTGCCACCGACCTGCCTCTCAATTTCGACTGTTCGCTCGATCATGGCAAGAGATTTCTGTGCCTTCTCGGGAGTATCAGCTCCAAGTCGCTCGATCGATCGCAGGGCTTCCTTTTGACGGCCGGCACGGACCAGCCACCACGGGGATTCGGGGGAGAGGAAGACGAGAATCATAAGGGGAGTCTAGCAAAGTCAGTATGCTGTCTGAAGTGGGAAAGTATCTCAGATTAATAGAGGACTTACGGGAAAGATCCACTGCAATGCAAGAGGCAGCCTCCAAGCCCACTCATCCGATCGTTTGTTGGTGGCATAAGTGACACCGGCGACAATGATGCCGCCAATGGACCAGGCCATCTGCAGAGTAGCTGTGCAGGCACCTCGAAGAGCCAGAGGCACAACCTCTGAGGCATAAGCAGGAGCATTGGCGATGAACATACCCCACGGGACACCCTCCAAAGCTTGCCCGACTGTCAAGATCGCGAGAGAATTGGCCTGTGGAAGCGTTAACAACTGCGTCCTGCTGGATTGAGATGGTTGGTAGAAAACTTACGAAGAAAGATACAAAGATTGTCGCGTTCATCAGCACCAAGCCGATGAGGGTAGTCCAGCGGTATCCGACCCTGTTGGTGATGGGACCAGCGAGGAACACACCGACAAAGGCACCACATTGACCAGATTGGAACAGGGCACTCTGCCATTTAGTCTCGATCACGAAGCCAGACCCCTCAACCAAAATGCCATATCGCTCTTTGAAGGCCGTTTGCGCGACGAAGTTTCCGTTCAAGAACATGTCGAACGACTCCATGACCTTGAGCGGGACGTCAGCATTCATCCAAAAGCCAATTCACGATGCTTCACCTCCTCGGTTCTCCACCATTCATTCCACTCTGAATCTGGGGAACATGGGGCAAAAGCGGGGAGAGGCAGATCTTCCAACGTACAATGGTGAAGCACATGGTAAACGCCCAGAGGCAAGCCCACGGGTGAGCCTTGACAGCCTCCCACACTCCCTGCTGGTGTTCATGGTTCTCTCCCTCGAAGGCATCGTTCATCAGGTCCTGGTTGGCCAGGACGTCTGAGTTCTTGACATCAACGTGAACACCAGCCTCCAGGCCCTTTGTCTCTGCGATAGCGGCAGACATTGTTGCGCTTTCCTGATTCGCCAATTACACGAATGCAGAGAAGAAAAAGCAAGAGACAGCAGTGTCAGGGTTGGGTGGGAGCGGCCTGCATCGGCCTGTTATATGCTGTGCTACGTCCTGCGGCCGTGTCGCATCGACAATCACGAGATCGAGTCCTGTCCCGTCCAGTCGCGTGATACGTGGAAATCTCTGCTTGTTGGTACATAGGGAGTCCCTGCTACGAAATCCAGGGTCGTAATAGGTGCATGTTGGTGCGTTGAATGGCTGGGTGTCCGAGACCCCAGCGGGCATTGTCTCACATTCGGCCAGATTCGAGCGGTTGGGTCTGGCTCAAGACACCCATCCCAGCCATTGTACTCCTTTCAAGAGTCAGATGGATTCTTTGCATGTGGCTCTCACTGGTGAGGGGCTTCAAAGGATGAGGGTCATCATGGCCGTAATGTGGAGGGTCGATCCCCCAGCCCGCGCGCCTTGTTTGACGGGTCCGAGAGCTGTGGTGGGTGAGAATGGGGTCGTAACACTTGGCTTTCCCTTCCTGGCTATTGGAGATGCCGATTTATCCGTCCCATGGGCGCGAGAATGGGAATGTTGGCCGTCCCCGGTGGGCATGGCACAGCAGCAAACACCCAAGAGAGGTGATGGATCGCCGTGTGCGCAGGCCTTTTGCTGGTACTATTGCCACCAGGGAGGTATGTACATAGGTTTGATTTCGCACTACAGGTAAATAGCCCGATTGGATCCCCGGCCTGTCGTCATAAGGCGGCCAAGTCTGGAGAGCTTGCTTATTCGCGCGGGTAAGATCCCTCGTGATGGGGAAGCTTAATTTCATAGCACTAAACTACTTGCAACAATACGAATATTAAATTTGCGATGCTGTATTCTGAGTACAAGGCAGAGAAAATAAAGGCAACGATGTGTGGGATGGACTGGACATCCCATCCAGGGGCTACTAACTCACAGACACAGTAGCATCAGGTAGCACTCAAACCCAACAGAATAACAATATGCACTGGCCAAGCTGACATACGGGACTCAGTTGGCTCTGTACAAAGTTGTCGGTAGCAAGTAATACCGCACTAGACCCCAGGATTCCAGCTTCGGCCCTTTTAACCCCAACCTGGGCCGTAACGTAACATCTGCTCCGCAGATCCCCTGTCCATAGGCTGAGGAATTGTCTGGGGCATTCTTCTCTGCAAGTTTATGTTGGTTTGGGCACTCATTGATTGAAGACCGTCGGCTCATTCTCACTCATGTGGCGACGCTCTCGGACGAGTTGCCGGGCAGCAATCGGCCGCACAGGATGGGAGCCGTTCATTTCCATAAGGCGGATTTCGTGTCTGCACCCTCTTGGCAACGCTCTTGCATATACATGGTCATTTCAGCGTGCCAATCGTCTCAACCTTTGAGTTCAAGGTTCAAGGGCCCCAGCGTTCCATCAGTTGATGCAAACATACGATGAATGCAACACCTTCTCCACCAACAGACAAACCCAATTTCTCACGTGGCGATTCGAAACGCTGCCCCCGTTCAGATCTCGGTCCATTGATATGCCCACTCATCTTTGTTGGTTCCTACTGTTGATCGCGATATGTGGGTAAAATGCAGATGCCTGCAATATGAACAAGCTAGTAATGATGGGTCGAGTGCATACTCCATGAACTGGGCAGCCTCAGGGCTTTTTACGTAAATCTTGTCCGATGGCTCGTGTATTGATTCTGCCATTCATCTGCCATGTTAACTAACCCCCTGCTCAACTCTCATCAGATCATGAAGCTCGGATGTTTTCATTCGAGCCGGAGCTTAGAATTCATTAGGAAATTCAAAGACGTTGTAGCCTAGTCAATGCTCAAATTGAGATTAATAAGATATCCTTGTGCCTGTTCAAATACTTGATGAGTTACGCCGAGGGTTCAAGATTCGGACATAGCTCATAAGAAAACCTCGTGCAGCTTCGTATAGCTAAAAAGAATATCTCGGGACGGTTTAAACCAAAAATTAATCAGAACCCAAAATTTAAATTTATCCAGAAATTTATGTTGTCGTTCATGATTCCAGCCTTGGTAGAAATTATTGTCGACTCGTTTTATGGTCGTAATCGTCTTACCCTAAACTTCTCAACACAAGACAAGGGAAAATCGGCCGTCTACTGGAGTCTCGATTTCATAGTCTGCCATTCTAGTTTTATTCAAACAATAAATTTTTGAAGGCACATTCTCAAATGGTGTGTCTGCGACCAAATCGTTCACGATTGTCGCAGCGGGTGCTTAGAAGCTTCTCATTTCATCTAACAGCCCCCAACAAGTCACTCTCCACTAAGACGGTTACCAGCTTCTACATATCCCATTCAAACAATTCAGCATAACAATGATTTTCAACAACCATTATCATAGAAGGTGATTACCGCAATTCTCATTAGGAAACTCCATGTGTTGGTATCCTGTTGTTCCACGAGTCCATAAATACCTAGAAACCGAACAGAACAAAGAGAGAACGTCGAAAAACCGGGTGAGTTGAGAAGGGCGCAAGCTCGAAAGGTATAAAAGATTTATGTAAGGGAATGCCTTGGTCCCTCGGGGTCAAACCTCCGTCGTTCGTATACCGTTGGAGCTTGCTGACTGTTCGTGTGTATTGGAACGCCTGAAACTTGCTTTGAGCCGAACTAATTGCGGCGAATTCCTCAAGACGCTTATCTGAGACATCCTGAGGGACATGCTCGGACGGGTCGAAGACCCAGATGGGATCTCCACGCTATGACCGGCCATCCTCCGCAACACTGGTCGAAGTTTGGGGAGACAGCCTGGCGAACTTGTTAACAATACATCTCTTTAAAGCCGATGGTGTTGTAGTTTTAGAGAGCATCTTACTTGAGAAAACGGCCATATTCACCTCCACAGCAGCCCAGAGCATGTTTGGAGCGACATGATACGTTATTTCGACTTCATGAGGATCATATTTGATCGACTCGATGAGTACAAAGACCGAGGCAATCACGACACTAGAAGAAGTCAGATTTCTGAAGGGGAAAGACGCTTGTTCATGGAGAGAAGAGTGTCCGTGAAATCTTACATGGCCCCAGATGCGAACAGAGCAAGAATGGCAGCTTTCCGCTTCTGACTGAGCTGCATTTTCAGGACCGGGAAGATAGGTAGCATCACGATGACTGCGTCCATGATACAATGAAGCAGCACAGTGCCAAAGAAAAACTTGCTGATATCTATCGGACACCTTCCGCCTGGGATGGATTTATCCCAGATGTACGGCACAGGGGTGCATTGAAATATGACGATGAAGGTGCGCACAATCACCCAGAGCGATGAGGTCAGGAAGAGGATGATGATTGGCCAGCGGATGGAACTACGGTTGAATATGTTCCAGAAGAAGCAGAGGACAGAAAACTTGGAAGAGGCGATGGATGCCGCGTAGGTCAGCTCGATGATCCAGAGTAGTTGGCGGGACTTTTCCAGAATGAAGCGTAGCTTATCTTGGTCGACATTGGGAAGGACTTGTCCTAAATAGTACTGAGACGTCCCTGGACCTCAGTGTCAGCCCAAAGATATTGATCACTCACAGTTCATAGCCGAAGCAGAGGGGAAGTGGTGACAGTACATATAAATATCGTCGCGCAATAGCCGGCTGCAAAAATCTTGGGGAGACGTGAGTTATTCATTCGTTTTTAAAGTAGGGGAGTCACTGACAAATGCAAAGATGCATAGATAGTCATCATAAAATGGAGGCCGCCTGGTCAGATGCAGGGCAACCATTCGAAGAGCCAGCGCCAGAAGGGCGACGGCAAAGGTGGTGATCGTAGCACCCAGAACGTTAGGCACAAGCCCAGCCATTTCTGAGACCTTGAGAAACAATGGAGAATTAAGCCGTGAACTAAAGTGGCTTCATTAGTTGCATGGCCGAATTAAGGGCTGCCGTGTCGTGGGTTCACTCGAAACCATGCAGCAGTCGTGACAGTCGTGGCCCAGGAGGAGAAGGCAGCGAAGGGTATGCAGATCTGCCGATCATGGACGGCTGAAATATCCCTCTACTAGACTTCGTTAGGAAAGCAAGTCCAAAGAGAAGGGGAGTATCAACGGTCTGGGATCCCCCCAACCTCCGAGAGAACTTTACAGGACGGTTGGGTATTCACGTAGCCGAGGGATGGAAACCGAAGAAACAAGAGGGGCATCGGTGTTGAAAATAGTCCGTGTCCGTGAGGTTATGAGAGCATTTATGTATGACTGAGACCTGCGGAACTTCTGGATGGGCTGATTGATGGGTGCGAATGACTTGGCGGAGACTGTCTCAGCCACCGCCGATTCCTGTGGTTTCACTGGCTTGATCGAGGCTGACCATCCACATTGCTAGTCAGAGATAACGCTTGATTTGCTCCCTGCTGACATCTGGCTTGCATCCGAACGCCCAGACTTGGTGGCTTGGGTGGCCTCCTGTGTCACCGGCCTCACCGCCACGGCAATCATCCATTCTTGCGCGGATGAAATAGAAAGTCTTCACTCATATGCCATATAAAAACCGGCCGTTTAAGTACTACCTAAATCAGAGACATAGTTCACGATTTGATGCCGATCGAAAACAGGGAGCGAGTATCCACCGTAAAGAGATGGCTGGGTCAAATCTGGGCCAAACATCTTATTTGAAGCATACATATTTACAAGCATCCCCCTCTATGCAGACATTTTGATCCGTATTGAATATGAAAAGTCATTCATCAACACTGAACTTACGTATGAGCCAGATGATTGCTCTTTTCATATGTTCACAGACGTGCTTCTCTAAGCCTTGACTGCGACCATAAACAATCGAGGGTATGGCAGCAGAACCTTTCCATCTCCTTGCGATTGATAAACCTGCCTTAATCGAGCAAGGTATTCCTCGAGAAAGCCAGCTTTTTGTTCTGGTGATAACGGATCCACGTAGGGCCGCAGACCAGTTCCCTTGACCCATTCCACAATAGCCTCATGATTCTCCAAAGTATGGTAGTATGTGGTTCTCCAAATCTGAATTTCCGATGCCAAAGGTTGTAGAGCATCATAAAGCTCGACAGCAGTGGGAAAGTCATCCCTTCCAGGGGCCGCACGTGTCAGAGTCTCTACCCAGGGAGTACCCGGGGTGAACGCCGCCTCCCTCATGGCGGCATGGGACGGTTCCGCGAGGTTATCGGGGACCTGAAAAGCGAATACGCCGCCAGAGGGCAGCTTCCCCAGAAGACTCTGGAAGAGCGGGATGCGTTTGGTACCAGGGATCCATTGGAAAACGGCGTTTGAGTAGAACAAGTCCACTTGCCCATCAGGCTGGTACGTCTCCAGGTCGGCCACTTCGAAGGGAACAGAAGGGAGAACTTGCTTTGCCATCTTGATCATGTCTGGGGATGAGTCCATGCCCGATACAGATGCATTTGGGAATTTTTCCACGAGAAGCGCAGTCGAGTTTGCTGGGCCGCATCCAAGATCAACAACCCGCTTTGGTGAGCTCAATGGGACTCGCGAGAGCAAGTCACGAGCAGGCTGCGTTCTCTCGGCCTCGAACTTGAGGTACTGGGACGCGGACCAGTCTTTGGCCATTCTTGCGGTGGTGGAAATGTGTGCTGTCTGGTTGGAGAGAGCCCGATGTGTGGGTTTATGGAGAGATTGTGCAATTCGTCGCGCAGGGAGATGATAGCACAGAGATCTCAGGCCTGACATGGTTATATGCCTATAAGCGAGGTGATCTACTGGCAGGAAAATGAGATTGAACAGATCAGACGAGCGATCAATGAATCAAGCTCGTATATATATCATCCACAGTCGTCGTTATTCATCATTGATCGTCATTTCATCCCGAGAACGCTGCTTACATAACTCGGAGCTCGGATTTTATCCCGTCGGCGAATCGGAGGTGACGGATTTCATCACAAATTTTTGTCAATTGACTCGTGAATGATTGAACAACCTCTACGCTCTCGGTCGCTTCATCGTATTTCCTCTCGCGGAGGCCGAGGGCAATAAGCGCGCCGGCAAAATAGCCGACTTCCATCCAAGGACGTCATGCAACGATGACTGATCTGGAGAGGAGGGTGAGGAGGGTGGACAAGCGCGACGAGCCAGGTGAAACAGAAAGACCTTCACCGAGAGCGGCCTTATGCAAACCCAACTGAAGTGTTGCATTCGAAGCGAAGACGATAAGCGACCAAGGCTGCATTCATGGCAGGGATACACGCATCACTGGATCCCAATCCAACCGGAGGGAGCAATCCCCCGCACTCTGATGGCTGTGATTCGCTTCAAGGTGGTCTCTTTTAGGTCACCTCTTCTTCGTAGCTGAACCAATCACTCCATTCCCGTGCCGGGAGTTGATTGTGATATCACCTCGCCCACCATCCTATGAGAGAAGGTCGCTTCGTTCATTGCCCACAAGGGACTCCAAAGCACGTGCTCACCGATATCGCCTCCTAGTCTCATTACCCGATACGATACTGTAGCCACGATTGCCTAAGTCGGGTTGGCCGAGGTTGAGACATTGTCCTGGGTCTTCGCTTGTTGATACCAGGATCGTGGGACAGCTTTTTGCCAGATGCAGATATTGATGACAAGAAGCGCAAATCAGAGACCTTTTCAACGGTCAGATTCGGACAATAAACAGCGGAAAACATACGCGGCGCAAGGCATCAACCACAACTCGGAGCATGTCCCTCCGGTCATCCTCATTTGCCCAAAGCGGGAGGACGCTGGCAAGGCCGGCACTTCATGTTGGCAGGGGGGCTGGACGGATGGTGCCACCTCGTCGGAAATGTGACTGGCAGAGTGATGAGTGATGGCAATCAGCATATGATATCCATGTCTAGGCGTGAATTTGAGTCTCCGTTTGGAAGTGCGAAGATTGCAGCAGCACGGGAACGCCGCTGACTACATTGCTCTCCCTTTCCAAGCTCAAGGGCCTCCCGTCACAAAGTATCAACAAGATATTCGCCGTTTCTTATGACCCTGTCTCCAATCAAGGCCTGTGTGGCTCTCTGTAGCGGCGGCTAGTAGTGTGATTTATGTCACGTTGTACGCCAATGGCATCTGGCATATGCTGGGACAGCAACATCAGCGCTTCCAATCCCTGAGGGCTGGATTAGCCTCAAACAAACAAGGGTACGCCAACGGTGAGACCCCACCTGTTCCTTGTCCCCGGTGCCAAAGGATTGACACTTCTGACAGCTGGCGATGCTACCAAGCTGCCAAACTACTCCGTATCCAGTCTTGAGTTCGTCGTTAACCTGGCGGTGACCGAGGTGATGCCGCTAAACAGACGGGCTTGATGGATAGCAGGAGACATATAGCAGGAGACATATAGCAGGAGACATATAGCGTGGGGGTGGTGTGATGGGAAAATCAGAACGAGCTCCCGACGTCTTACATAGTACATTGAGATTCCACGGCACTAGATGAAGCAATCACTGGTCTTAAATGAAGAGAATGCAATCACAATACAATCACAATAATCTTTCTCATCACTAAATTTAATTGGCAACGTGCAAATCACATTGTTAGCCGTCTTCTCTCGTCTCTGTGGGTCGTCCTTGAATTCTCAAACAAAGTCAGCGAGAGAATATGACGACAACCCCAGTCACTCCTCCAGGGGTCCATAGTTCTGGGAACTCAGTAGATAGCCAATCCCACCATTTTATTACTACCGGCATCATGATGCTCGCGCCCTGCCAGTTCTCCCATCTTTCCTGGCGGTATATGTTCTTAACATGCAGCCAACTCCCTCCCACCGAGCACGTCGGCGGCACCCATTACGATGGAGGCCTTCATTGCTCTGGGAAACGATGCATATTTCGACAGCACGGTGTTCATCGCGACATGCTCGGCATTGTCCGCCATTGGGGGAGTGTTGATCGCTCTGCGGTGCGTGGCGAGCGTGAAGCAGATTGGGAGGTTGTACCTTGATGACTGTGCGGCAAGCCTTTGACACACCCGGATCATCGACAGCGAGGGCGAAGCTAACAGAGATGAATGAGCAGATGCAATGATTGTGGGTTTGGCGTTCTTGATTGCCACTTTTGTCATGACACACTTGCTGGAGAGGTGTAAGTATCCGGTCGATTGATCCTAGCTATCCCACCAACTAAGACTTCGAACAGCGTATGATCAGATGTACAAAAAGGTCATGTCACTTTTAGGGTTGGAGTCTAAGCGCGCTCTTCCTCCATCCGTCCCAGACTACCTCTTCGACCCAATCCTCGAAATGGACAGAGTACGCCGAAATTTCACACGAAACATGGAATCTCAATACTCATTGATTTGAATAGATTTGGGTCGCAACGATTACGGTCGCGAATCTTTCCACGTGGACGACGAAACTCCCCCTTATGCTACTGCTAGCACGACTGTTCAGCGTCAAACCCTGGGTACCGTGGATCTCGTACGGCATGCTAGTTGCGTCTCTTCTCGTAACCATTGCAATCACGGCATGGAGCGGAGCCGCATGCGATATGAGAGGGCAGTGGGATACGGATGTCGCTGAGACATGCTCTCCACGGAGTGCTCTCGGCCATCTGGCATCAGGGATCGTGGGGCTAATCGTTGATGTGGTCCTCTTTATTCTCCCACTTCCGATCATCATAAGGTTGAATGTGCCTTTCAAGAGGAAGATAGGATACGCTATTGTCTTTGCCACTGGCATTCTGTAAGTCTGCCTCTTCTGATATGAGCAAGAAGTTGGAAGATCTAACATCCCAAAACAGAGGCATCGTCGTTAGCATCGTTGGGTGTTACTGGAGAAGACAGGCACTGAGTGGAAAGGCTAGTGACCGCAAAGTGTCTATTCTCTGCGTGTAAGTTCTTCTTTCGCCCATATCTCGGAGTGCCGACTAATGCCATGTCAAGGGTTTTGGAAGGTATCATTGCCATTCTCCTGGGATGTGTCCCTGCATACTACTACATATACCGAAACATTATAATCAAGGCCAACAAATTTTCGAATGCCGCGTCGGGCATCACAGCTACAAAATCAACTCGAAAGCCCACGAGCACGGCTAGGCACTCTCACATGTCAAGGCGATATACGACCACGGCTGATGAAACTATCAACTCGACCCAGGGGGATTGGATCAAGATGGACACACCTCCAGTATCGAGGGACCGATCAAGAACAAGGGAACCTGAACCATCAATGTCCATTGAAACGGCACGTTCCTCTACAGACAGGGACCATATCATCCACATTGGATATGATGGGAGATCTAATAGGGCATAGTCATGAGTTGAATGGGAGGGAAAGAACAAGGATATGAGATACCCAGGGCCAATATCAACCGAAATCATAGAGTCGGATGCGACAGCAAACAATACGATACCCTTAATACATCAGAATCATCTTCGAGATCAGTTTCTTGGTCGCCATACCCTCTTGTGCAGAAGGTGAGGCATAATTCGAATCTCTTCGACACGACGGGCGTTACTCACGTGTATTAGAAAAGAGTGCTTACCCTTACTCCATCAACATGTTGACATAGTGTCGAAGTTGTTGTGTTAGCTTTGGCTCTATCAACACCCACCACTGCTCAATGGATCATCCAGCCGAGGGTGATTGGTCGACCAGTGTGGAGGGAGCTTTGACTTGACTCACGAGACCTTTGGGACTTTAGGAGCAAGGGAGAATACCCTACGGTGGACGCCTTTCATAGAGCACATTTAGAAGACAACACTGTCAAAGATGCTTTCCCTTGCTCAATCTGTTTTGTCTGAGGACAGATACAGGTTGTATGACCATTGGGATTTACGACAAGTATCAAGAGGCACCTAGTTATCTGCGGAAAGACTTTTGCCACCACATTGCGTCACGAGATATACTTACAATGACTCGAAAGGAACGACAACTCCTTTGTATGTCGGAATTGACATATCACACCAGAGCTTTGTCAATAAATTCTTGATTTTATTTACTAAAAGACTATTTCTAAACAAGAACCACTTATAGCTTGCAGCCTAAACCCCGATTTGTCCATCGTAGCAACTCATTCCTTTATTCCACCTCTCTCTATTTAGTGGAGTTAGACGGACGCGCAAGAAGCACTCTTCCACAGCCATCCATCCTTACTCCTTGAACCGAAGCAAGTACCAGAACCCGGGACGTAGTTTGACGTGACCGAGTTCCCCTTGCAGTTATAGTCGTCGAACAGGTAACAGTTGCCCCTGGTCTGCGACCCGGATTTGGTCCAGATGTTTGCGGTGTTGATCGACAGGGAGTTCCCGGGCATGTTCAGCTGGAAGCACTCGGCCTCCTGGCCCCCGTTGACCATCCGGCCGATGAGCGGGGACTTGCTCCACCAGCAGGCCGCCTCGCCGGTGTACTTGGTGCAGCTCTTGTCGGTGTAGAAGTTGATTTGCGCTCCCTTGTCTGTTTGGTAGGTGGCGATGGCGGGTTGTGCCAGGCCGGCGACTGCGGCCACGACTGCAATGATGCTGAAGCTGTGCATTTTCGTGTATGTTTGTGTATGAACGAATTAAATTGGGTGGGTTGAATGTCGTTGAAGAATTGGGTGGAAGATGGGAATGAGAGTGCGATGGTAGGTTCCCTTTTCTGGTTGAGAAGG